AGAAGTTTTTTTTTTTTTTAAAATAAGGATGTTTTATTTTAAAACAAGTACATTCAATTTTCACAATGAATATGTTCTATTTTTAACGAAGTACATTTTATTTTCAAATGAGGATGTCTTATTTTGAAAGAAGGACATTTTATTTGAAAATAAGGATGTCTTTTTTTATTTAAAGAAGGACATTTTTTAGCAAATAGGACATTTTATTTCGAAATAAGGACATTTTTAAAAAAAAGTGTTGTTTTTTTTCAAGAAGAACATTTTATTTTGAAATAAAGTTGTTGTATTTTGAAAAAAGGATATTTTATTTTTCAAATGAACATGTTTCATTTTGAAAAAAAAGACATACAATTTTTTTTCAAAAGAAGGACATTTTATTTTTAAAAAAAGGATGTTTTACTTTGAAAGAATGACGTTTTTTTTTTTAAATTTTACTGTAAGAATATTTTATTTTAAAAGATGGACATTTTATATTGTAATGACGATGTTTTATTTTGAAACGAGGATTTTATATTTTTAAATCAGTACTTTTTATTTTGATAGAAGGATATTTCATTTTGAAAAGAGGATGATTTCTTTTAAAAGAAAGACATTTTCTTTTGAAATCATTATGTTTTATTTTAAAAGAAAGACATTCTCTTTCAAAATGAAAATGCTTTAGTATTATAGAAAGACATTTTATTTTAAAATGAAGATGATTTATTTTGAAAAAAAAATATATTTTTTTTAATTAGGATGTTTTATTTTGAAAGAAGTATATTTTATTTTATATTAAGAATGTTGTATTTTCAAATAAAGATGTTTTATTTTGAAAGATGGAACTTTTATTTTGAAAGGAGGATGTTTCATTTTGAAAGAAGGAAATTTTATTTTTAAATTAGGATTTTTATTTTTAAAAGGGGGAAATTTTATTTTCAACTGAGAATGTTTTATTTTCAAAGAAGGAAGATTTATTTTGAAATTCAGATGTTTTATTTTAAAAGGATAATTTAATTTAAAATGAACATGTTTTATTTGAAAGAAGGACACTTCAGGTTGAAATGAGCATGTTTTATTTTGAAAAAAGAACAATTTAGTTTGAAAAGAGGATTTTTTATTTTGAAATTTTTTTTTTTTTTTTTTTTTTTTTTTTTTATTTTGTTTTTTGTTTTTTTATGGTTTTTTTTTTTTTTTTTTATTTTTTTTTTTTTTTTTTTTTTTTTTTTTTAAATTAGGATGTTTGGTTTTGAAAGGAATTTTTTTTTTAAAATTGACGTTGTTTTAATTGTGAATGAAAGACATTTTATTTTGAAATTGGGATGTTTTATTTTAAAAGGATATTTTATTTTGAAATAAAGACATTTTATTTTGAAAGTAGGATTTAATTTTTTTTTTGAAGATGATGATGTTTTATTTTGAAATGAGGATGTATGGTTTGAAGAAGGACATTTTTTTAAAAAATGGTGGTGTTTTATTTTGCGAGAAGGTCATTTCATTTATTTGAAATAAGGATTTTTTTTAATTTTTTTTTTTTTTAAATGAGGATGTTTTATTTTTCAAGAAGAACATTTCATTTTGAAATGAGGATGCTTTATATTTTAAAAGAAAAATTCTATTTTTAAATGAGAATATCGTATTTTGAAAGAAGGACATTTTATTTTGAAAGAAGAACATTTTATTTTGAAAGAAGGACATTTTATTTTGAACGTAGGTCATTTTATTTTGAACGTAGGACATTTTATTTTGAAAAGAGAATAACTTATTTTAATTGAAAGAAATTTTATTTTGAAATGAGATTGTTTTATTTTGAAAGGAGGACATTTTATTTGGAAATGAGTATGTTGTATTTTAATATGACGAAATTTTATTTTGAAATATGGATGATGCATTTGGAAGGAGGACAATGTATTTTGAAATGATAATGTTTTATTGATCCAATTTTGCTGCGTTATTATTGGGCATAGCTTATTTCCTTTGATTTTACTCTTGTTTGCTACCAACTGAATAAAATGAATGGTCTTTATTTAAAATATTATTGTTGAAAATTCTGGAGAAAACTAGATAGAAAAAAGAATGTGTAAGGCGTTATTAGATGCCTAGAACCGACACATATATATATAAGAGGATTCAGAGAGCATTTGAGAGGGAGAGAGATCACTAGATATTTTTACTTCACGAGACAAGAGTGTGTTATTATACGTGTGAATTTGTATTCATCATTGTACATTTGCTGTGGCACATTATATTAACTGTGTACCGGTACAAGACATACCATACCCTATAAGTTGATCATTTTATTTATATTTATTTTATTTTGTAATCCAGAGTAACGTGATATATCTTATTAATTGTAACTAGCAATGTTTTGAGTGTCGTATCTCTGTTAGTTCTGTTCTTATCATTTGGTATCGTCTTGTTATGCACTGTTTGAAACGAGCCATAAACTGTAAATCAGAGATTAATTTATCATGGCATAGCAATGTGTAACAGATCGTTGTCTCTTTTATTAGAATGCTTGTCTTTTTAATGATATTATTTGTCATTTTTTTATGGTTCTTATTTATTTTATTATGGTGTTTGTTTTTTATGAGGCTGCTTGTCTATTTTATGAGGTTGTTGTCTTCTAGAACTTTGTACAGAAAAGTTTCGACTTTCTTGTTCATATGAAACAAATTATGAGGATCCCTAATACAAGTTTGAGGAGCGTTCGAAAGAACTATTTAAAAACATTATTATTATTTTTTTTGTTAATGACACCTGGCCCAAGTTTGGGAAGTTTTCGAAACTTAACTCATTGAAATTAATTGAGAATCCTTCAATAAATAATATTAGAAAAAATAATTTTAGAACCGTTCGATATGTAACTCATTTATAATTCATTTTAAAAAAAAATCAATTAAACAAACAGATTTTCAACAACAAGATTTTAAAAAACATAATTAAATACCCAACGAAATCCATTTGATATTTAAAAACATATCATACAACAAGACGAGCTATTATTAATACAGACTATTAATTAAAATTAAATTTAAAAAGTAATTAATTGATTATCACACTTAATTAACTCGCCCATACGCCTTCAGGCGCCGTCATGCGCACCTTCATTTTTCTTATGTTCTCTTTGAGCCTTAGGTGCGCCTGAAAAAGTTGCTCTTTAAGCTTTGCGCCTTAACAATTCTTCACTATTCCCTTTGCGCCTTAACAATTTAGGCGAAGTGCTGAAAGGGACCTAATATACTACTGTTTTCATTCTGACCAGCTGTTAGCAGTGCACAGACAGACGCACATTGAATTAATCGTATATTGTTAAGAGCCTAAAAATTAGATGACTTTTTAAACTCATTACATTTGTTAAAATAATGTACAAACCAGTCAATTTTTAAGATTACAATGTTAATACATGAACATGATTTTTAAAGTCAACTTATCTAAATCCTTACTCCCTTGTGTCAACACTATTTTTGTTGTCAAATGTGTGCAAACCCCCCCCCCCCCTCCCTTTTTTTTTGACTCAATTAAAGTATAACCCCATTTTAAACACAATAAATTTGTTAAAATAAAGAACAATCCAGTCAATTATTAAGATTACAATGTTAATACATGAACATGATTTTTAAAGTCAACTTATCTAAATCCTTTCTCCCTTGTGTCAACACTATTTTTGTTGTCAAATGTGTGCAAACCCCCCCCCCCCCTCACTATTTTGTTGACTCAATTAAAGTATAACCCCTTACAGATTGGAGCAAATATATTTTTATGAGCTTTTTAGAAATGCCTTCTTAATGTATAAATAACAACAATGTAGAATGATACATTCTACGCCAAACGTAACAATCCTGAAAGTACCGTACGTTGATTGCGTTCATGCAATTTTAACGGTTCATAGCTCAAGCCTCTACGTGTCCCTAGAAATGTTAAAGATGACATGATGGGCAGCTGTTGTTGGATACGTTTCTCTCAACGAACGAAGAATTATTCGTAGTTGATTTTCAGTTTCGATCGTACGTCATTGATGACGTTGTTTGGAAAGGGAGGTGGTGTTTGAAAATAGTTTGCACAACAATTCCGAGAGGCACCAAGTAACAGAGTTATGCTGTCCAGTGGCGTAGAAAGGGGGTAGTGAGGGGTGCTCCACCCCTGGCGGCAATTTGGTTCAGTCTCAGGTTTGATTTCTCGACCGCTTTTTTAAAGCGTCGTTGTGTCAACCGAAAGGGAATAAAACTACCGCTCTTGTTCTCTAGCACGTGTTCTCTAGCATGCCCTTAATGGTTCCCGACGAAGTCTAGGACGAACATAATTGAAACTGAACATCATGGAAAATGAACTTTTTTTTTAAACTGAACACCTTAGAAAAAAGTAAGTGGATACTTACAAAATATATTTTTTTAAATTATGTTTTTTTTAAAATGTTTATAGACCCCACGATCAATTTATTGACCATTCAAATTCCTCGTTGAAATTCAGTTTGCCTTCTCTTAAATAAGTTGCCTTCCAAGGCTAATGAGCCACATCCACCCGGGGTTTTTGTGTTGTTCGAATTCCAGACCACCAGCTATTTGGATTAAGTCAGTTTAGAAAACTAGTCCACACAGCACATATTTTTCGTCATCATTTATTTTTTAATAAATGAAACAAAACAAGATTTACCCATCTCTACTTTAGCTCTTCGGCCCTGGTGTTCAAATAATTAAGCTCCACAACTCACTCAACGCAACCGGGCAGCAATTGACCTATAGATATATACTAATTTTTTTTTTTAGTGAAGTTCAGCTCAAAGAACCGTTAAAAAATTATTTACTCATAAAGAGTTTTTTTTTTTAAAATAATTAATTATTATTTTAAATAAATATAACATTTAAAAATGAAATCAAAATTCAAAGCATTTCACCTGGTAGAGATTAGTGAATTCCAAGCATTTCACCTGGTAGAGATTAGTGCAAAACTGAATTCAGGTATGCACAAAAATGAATTCTTTTATTTTCAAATAAAAAAATAACATAAAAGCTATTCATTTGGCTCCCCCACAGCCCCCCCGATTTTAGCTGGAAGCCTTTGAAGTCCTTGATTTCTATCCTTACCTGCCCTTGATTTATATCTTGATGTATATGACAGGGACATTGCTATTTCTAGTTTCGATATTTCCAGCTTTCACTGTGCCAAAAAACACCATATTTCTGTATTATTTACTTCGGTGGCAGCACATTCAATGGCCAGCCCTGCTAGTACATCGTTGGCACTTTTTATGTATATTGTTGGAAGATATTTTTGGAAAATTGCACATAATCTAGTTACGCAATAGGATATATTGTGGAAAATGTATGGTTGTGGTGGATTAGGATTTTTTAGAATTGTGTGCATCTCAGTCGAAAGTCACAATTGGTTAACTGGCTAATCATAATGTTTCCTCCGGTGGCCTGGTACCTTTCAAATTTACTTACTTCCTCTTCCATTGACTGAGTATGTATCCCATTGACTTACTGGTTGATTATACCGTCCCTTTCATGGACCCAGTACCTTTCACATTGACTTACTGGCTGATCAGAGTGTCTCTTCCGCTGACCGAGGATCTATCCCATTGACTTACTGGTTGATCATACCATCCGTCCTTTCCGTGGACCCAGTACCTTTCACATTGACTTACAGTTTAATCACACTGTCTCTTTCGTTGACCCAGTACCTTTCAAGAACCGTGTTACTTGATGGTGTCTTTGTAAATCTCTCTCAGGCTTGTACTGCTACCTTTTTTTTCAAAAATAAATTAATTTTCAACTATGAATAATTTTTCCCCTTTTGAAAACATATCTACAACAGATGCCACCATTTACAAGCACTGCTCACATTTACAACTACTTCCTACAGTTACAACATGACCTGCCCGAAATATCTTAATTTTTACTTCTGGGATATTGTTGCCACTTGAGCTATGCATAGTTGACATATGTATATGCCAAAACAAAGGTAAGTAGGTGTTCAAGATGCAGGAGTTTCTGTACTGCGCATAATTTATTACATTAATATAAGAACCAAATAACAAATAAAATGTTTTGTTTTTTTATTTTACAATATCAATAATAACTGATACTCATTTAACTCAATCAATATTTAATGTTATTATTAGACCCAATCAAAATGCATTTTTTTTCTTGGACCCAATCAAAATGAATTTTCTTCTTTGACCTAATCAATAATGATTGTTTTTTTTGTTTGACCCAATAAATAATGAGCTTTCGAATTCGACCATATAAATAATGGGTTTTCTTATTTTTCCTAATCAATATGGAGTGTTCTAATTTAACACAGTCAATAATGAGTGTTCTTTTTTACCCAATCAAAAATGAGTTCTTATTTTTCCTAATCAATATTGGGTGTTCTAATTTAACACAATCAATAATGATTTGTTGTTTTTTATTTGACCCAATCAACAATAAATGTGGGTATGTGTCCGAATCAATAGTAAATATTCTTATTTTGAACCCATCAATAATGAATGTTCTTATTTTACCCAATCAATAATAAGTATTCTTATTGTACCCAATCAATAAGGAGTGTTCTAATATTATCCAATCAATAATAGGTGTTCTTATTTTACCCAATACATAATGAATTTTTTTATGTGTCCAACGTAAAAATGAGTGCTCTCATTTGGCACAATGAATAATGAATGTTTTTTATTTGACCCAAACAAGAATGAAGGTTCTTTTTGACCCAATAAATAAAAATTGTTCTTATTTGACCCAATGCATGATGAATGTTCTTATTTGACCCAGGACATGATGAATGTTCTTACGTATCCCACATAATAATGATTCTTCTTACTAGATCAAGTCAAGAATGAATGTTCTATTTGACCCAATAATAATGACTTTTCTAATATGTCCTCATTTTTGTTGTTGTTCTGTGTTCTCCTATGCTTGTACATTTATGACCATATCATCAGACCATATCATAAGACACATTAATTCTATACTTCTTGTTATGCAACATTTCACTGAAAATAGTTTTTAATGTCTATGTCCAGATAAATAAATGCATATCAATATGTCATCGTGTGTGTCAAAAATACAAATTTATTATTCATTTGTCTATTGACTATGTATGCCTATTTCAATATTATTATATGTGCATATCCAGTCCATAAGATCATGTCTCTGTTTACTTAAGAGAATATTTGTATGTAAATACACATATAGAAGTATTTCTTTTAATATACCGTACTAGTCAACTTTAGACCCAACTATAGACCCTGCCACACAAATGTAGACATTGCCACACAAGAGTAGACATTTTTACACAACTGTAGACATTGGCACACAACTGCAGACATTGCTACACAACTTTAGACACTGCAACACAGCTTTACACAATGCTGACTCTTCACAAACCAAGTTTATCCTTCTCACTTCTTAGCTTTTCTTCTTCAATACTGAAACAAAATAACATTATTACTATTAGAAAAAAAAAAAATAATGACATGATAGGTAACGAAAACTATTTTTTAAGCAATCATCAAACAGCATCGAATCTTATAAAATATAATGTTGGTGTTAACAAATAAATGAATACCATTGCTACAAAGTTGGAATCCCAATGAAACTCATTATTATCTGGTTAGAGTTAGGGTTAGGGTTTTCATATTAACCTAACCTAACCTAACCTAACAAATAAATGAATACTATTGCTACACAGCAGGAATCCAAATGAAACTAATTATTACCTGACGGGGTGGAAAAACATCCTTTCTAAGGAAATACAACTTAAATAGACACGAAGAAAACAAATGATATCACATATAGAAAAATATTACTCTTGATGAGATATTTAAAAGGAACACATATTTTAGAAAACAGCACACCCACTACATCAAAGTTACGTAAGATCAGCTAATCATGGCTAATTCTTTCCCTTAAAAAGTAAGGGAAAAGATATTAAAATTTATAGGATCCATAAACTCTCAGAATGTAAAGCATACTTTCGCGCGTGTGTACCAATCGAATAGCAACTCTTAAGTTAATATTGACATGGCGATATTTAGTGGCCGGGTTTTGTGCCTGAGAAAATAATTTCAAATGTCTGACGTTTCAATTGTTCTAGAGTTATCTTAATCATCATTTTAGCCATAGGCTCAAAATAAATATTTACAATTTAATCAATAGAGATATCGAGTTATTTGTATCTGTAAAGAATAACATCATTTTAGCTTCAAACATCAAATAAAAACATCAACTTTGCACCTCTTCATAACTAACTAAAAAAATATATATATATTTTTTCATATTTAAATTTTAACATTATTTTCTTGACCAAGGAAGGAATGCAATTCAATTAATAATGTCCATAGAGCTTCCAAATACTTAATTTAATAATATTTATGCTTAAAAAAGATTGACAAAATAAAAAGTTTTCATAATAGGGCCTATGTTAAAAGTAAAAAAAAAAAAAATCTTTCGCAAGCCAGGGACAGGGATCTTCTCTTTACGTTCCAAGATTTAAAACGATACATCAAGAAGACGTTATTTTTTTTAATTTTTTTTTTTTTTAAATATATTAATTTTGGCTCAAATCTGATTCGCAAACAACCGAGTTAAAGATTAACCGACCTAATCTTCCAATATTTATTATGAAATGTTTGTCTCTTGGATGCATGTATCAATAGATATTGAGTTAAATTATTCGAGTTAATTAAATCAGTGTACAAAAAAACGATCTTTATCGCCTTGACATAATCTGTGGTAACAATGAATTAATTCGTCAATATTTCATAAAAACCATGATGATAACAACTGATGATGTGAGCGTCATAAACAGTGACACATGCATTTAGCAGGTTACAAGCAGTTACATAAACAGCAGAATTTTTGTTCGCGATTCCCAATAATTCATCTGAATCACAAGGAAGTTACAACTGTTTAATTAACTTTATTTAGAACAAGTGTTTTTCACCTGTGGTAACCCAAAGATGCAATTATTGGAATCCATTTTTAAAAGATTTTCATGTCCCAAAAATGCATCCTTCCTTACGTCCCCAAAGCTAGCCCTCCTGATGTCACCTAAGTTAGCCCTTCCCCCAATATATCCCTCATGGTGTTCTCAAAGTTAGCCCTCCTGCTGTCCCCAAAGTTAGCCCTTCCCCCAATATACCTCTCATGGTGTTCTCAAAGCAAGCCTTCCTGATGTCCCCAAAGTTAGCCCTTCCCCCAATACAGCCCTCATGGAGTTCTCAAATCTAGCCCTCCTGCTGTCCCCAAAGTTAGCCCTTCCCCCAATATAGCCCTTATGGTGTTCTAAAAGCTAGCCCTCCTGGACCCATAGCTAGCATTCATATCCCCAAAGGGATTTGTCCTGATGTTCCCAAAAGCTAAACCTCCTGTCACCATAGCTAGCATTCATATCCCCAAAGGGATTTGTCCTGATGTTCCCAAAAGCTAACCCTCCTGTCACCATAGCTAGCCCTCCCTTCACCCAAGCTATAGCTGTCCTGATGTTCCCAAAAGCTAACCCTCCTGTCACCATAGCTAGCCCTCCTTTCACCCAAGCTATAGCTGTCCTGGTGTTCCCAAAAGCTAACCCTCCTGTCACCATAGCTAGCCCTCCTTTCACCCAAGCTATAGCTGTCCTGATGTTCCCAAAAGCTAACCCTCCTGTCACCATAGCTAGCCCTCCTTTCACCCAAGCTATAGCTGTCCTGATGTTCCCAAAAGCTAACCCTCCTGTCACCATAGCTAGCACTCCTTTCACCAAAGCTATAGCTGACCTGATGTTCCCTAAACTGACCCTCCCTATGTTCCCAAAGGTAGCCTTTCTGATGTTCACAAAGCTAGCCTTCCTCATGTCCCAAAAGCTAGCACTCCTGATGTTTCTAAGGCTAGCCCTTCTGATGTTTCCAAAGATAGCTTTCATGATGTCCTCAGTGGTATCCCACTTACTACCCTCTTTAGATAGTGTTTCTCCCCTAAAATGCATTGGGCTTGCAAAAAAAAAGCAGCGACTTAAAATGGGTAGGAAATTTAGAAGTTTAAAATATATTTTTAAGTGTTCAATGTTAAGCGTTACATAGCAGGGGTCCCGAACATTTTGATGTAAATGTTGTATCGCAGACTAATTCTCTGGATACAGATTTGTTAATGTTATGTCGATTGTAAAAAAAAAATCCCACACTGTTATTTTATGACGTGATTACAGTTAATGGCCAACATGCATATTGCAATGGTAGACACAATGTAATCCACTTTTAAAATTTTGAATTTTTGCAAAGCATGTGTCAAGCGAGGAAAGAAAATAAAATAAGGGAAATAAAATAGTCACTCACCCTAAGTGTTAATTGGAAAGAAGAAGATGTTCAAGTAATAAAACGTGTTAATAAAAGGATGATAGTTTTTTTCATTAAATTTTAGAAGATTAAAGCATTTTTTTTGGTGTTTTTTACCGATTTAAGATAATATGCATAGCTTTATAAAACTGTGTCAATATTTGTGCCAACATCTTACGATTTCATGTGTTTCTTTACATTGTTAGTCATATAAATAAGTTTCATATTGTTATGTAAGGTTTTTAGCTGCGATATACGTTATGTTATGTCAGTGTCTTTAGCTGCCATGTTAGTTATCGTTATGTTGGTGTCGTTAGCTGTCGTAATAATGAAAACAGTATTTAATATTATATTTAGTACAATGGCGTATTTTAATGAGGAGACATTAAGTGTTTACGATGTTACCCAAACCCTAACCCTAACCCTAACCTAAGGAGACGACTTCTACGCAAGTATGATCTAACCCTTACCCTAAACCTAACCCACTATTTTAATTTAGTAGACGGCTACTACTTGCATATGCTCCCTAACCCCAACTCTAACAATAACCCTAACCCAAACCCTAACCCCAACTTAGTATTTTAATGGGGAGACAACTACTACATGTCTATGCTTTTAACTTAACCCTAACCCTAACGTCTACTATGATTTAAAATGAAGTGATTCGGAAACATGTTTAACAAAGAGCTTCCAGCATTTATTTGGTTTAGTTCAGTGGTTCCCAACCCATGATATGCGTACCCGCTTTGGGTATGCGGCTGATGGCTTTGGGGTAAACAAAAATTACATTTATTTTTAATTGCGTAAAATGTTTTTAAAAAAAGCCTCCCCCCCCCCTTTTTTTTTTATCTACGTAAATCTTTTGTTAGTACAGTTCTGATTATATACACTAGTAAAACTGTATTTCAATATATAGCAGTGATTATCAAATTTTATTCATGAAAATATTTTTATTAAGATTTATAATGAGAACACCAGAAGATAAACAGGCTTGTCTTCTATAACTTCACTTAGAACAAATTTTATGGATCAAACAGCTCATTTTTCAATCAACTAAACATCGTATCTTCAATCAGCCAAACGGCGTATCTTCAATCAGCCAAAAATCGTATCTCCAATCTGCCAAAAAGCTTATATTCAATCAACCAAACAGTCCAACGTCAATCAGCCAAACAGCTTATCTTCAATCAGCAAAATAGGACTGCACATAATGGATGTTAACTTACATGCTGTTTTCTCATTCAGCGCTCCTGAACCAATTGAGGACGCTTCACTGTCATCTTCTCTTATCGCTATATTTTTCTTACTGAACAATTCAGGTGACTGATTTCCACAATTTTCCCCGTGTTGGACGACATAATATTGTAGAAATGATCGGGTTGCATTGTATCCTCTCTAAAAGGGAACACAAAGAAAAACATTTAAACTATATGACATAAGATTGTTCAAAGTCACAGGAATTATGCAGACATGTTAACACAGCGGATAGCTTCCATGTCATGTGCATGTGCGAGCAAGCTGTCAAGGCAAAAATAGTTTGGCAAGCTACCTGCGTATTCATTGTCGTATAGAGCCGTGGTCACCATCAAATATAATTGTGGTCATCATCTAATATAGCCGTGGTCACCATCGAATACAGCTATGGTCATCAAGAAATTAAATATAGCTGTAGTCATCATCGAATATAACCCTGGTCATCATCATATATAGCTGTTGTCATCATCAAATATGGATGTGGCCATCATCAAATATTGTTGTGGTTATCATCAAATATAGTTCTGGTCATTATCAGAAATAGCCATGGTCATCATCAAATATAGCTGTTGTAATCATCAAATATAGCCATGGTCATCATGAAATATAGCCATGGTCAACATCAAATATTTTTTTGGTCATTATCAAATATTTACTTACATCTGTAACGAAGTCTCTGTCCGTCTCTTATTTACAGCTATAACAAAGTCTCTGTTTATATCTTACTTACAGCTATAACAAAGTCTCTCTCTTAGTATCTTAATTCCAACTATAATAAAGTCTCTGTCCGCATCTTACTTACAGCTATCACAAAGTATCTGCCTACATGTTACTTACTGCTATAACAAAGTCTCTCTCTTAGTATCTTACTTACAGCTATAACAAAGTCTCTGCAAGCATTTTACTTTCAGCTATAACAAATTCTCTATCTGCATCCTCTAAGGTATAATCCAATGTGCCTACATCTTACTTACAGCTATAACAAAGTCTCTATCTGCATCCTCTAAGGTATAATCCGATGTGCATACATCTTACTTACAGCTATAACAAAGTCTCTATTTGTTCCCTCTAAGGTATTATCCGATGTGCCTACATCTTACTTACAGCTATAACAAAGTCTCTATCTGCATTCTCTAAGGTATAATCTGATGTGCCTACATCTTACTTACAGCTATAACAAAGTCTCTATCTGCATTCTCTAAGGTATAATCCGATGTGCATACATCTTACTTACAGCTATAACAAAGTCTCTATCTGCATCCTCTAAGGTATAATCCGATGTGCATACATCTTACTTACAGCTATAACAAAGTCTCTATTTGTTCCCTCTAAGGTATTATCCGATGTGCCTACATCTTACTTACAGCTATAACAAAGTCTCTATCTGCATTCTCTAAGGTATAATCCGATGTGCCTACATCTTACTTACAGCTATAACAAAGTCTATATTTGCATCCTCTAAGGTATCATCCGATGTGCCTACATCTTACTTACAGCTATAACAAAGTCTCTATCTGCATTCTCTAAGGTATAATCCGATGTGCATACATCTTACTTACAGCTATAACAAAGTCTCTATCTACATTCTCTAAGGTATAATCCGATGTGCATACATCTTACTTACAGCTATAACAAAGTCTCTATCTGCATCCTCTAAGGTATAATCCAATGTGCCTACATCTTACTTACAGCTATAAAAAAGTCTCTATCTGCATCCTCTAAGGTATAATCCGATGTGCATACATCTTACTTACAGCTATAACAAAGTCTCTATCTGCATTCTCTAAGGTATAATCCGATGTGCATACATCTTACTTACAGCTATAACAAAGTCTCTATCTACATTCTCTAAGGTATAATCCGATGTGCATACATCTTACTTACAGCTATAACAAAGTCTCTATCTGCATCCTCTAAGGTATAATCCAATGTGCCTACATCTTACTTACAGCTATAAAAAAGTCTCTATCTGCATCCTCTAAGGTATAATCTGATGTGCATACATCTTACTTACAGCTATAACAAAGTCTCTATCTGCATCCTCTAAGGTATCATCCGATGTGCCTACATCTTACTTACAGCTATAACAAATTCTCTATCTGCATTCTCTAAGGTATAATCCGATGTGCATACATCTTACTTACAGCTATAACAAAGTCTCTATCTGCATCCTCTAAGGTATAATCCGAAATAAAATGAGTAAAACAGAGTAGGGTTAAACCTGAAAAACTAAACGCAACAAAACAGCGAACGTGTCGGCAGAAAGCCTTCGTCAGCGAACAAAACAACAGAAAAAACGGTATAAAAATAAAAATAAGAAATAGCACTTAGCTGGTAAGTAGTATCTGTGGGCAGCAATAGAAGGTATAATCCGATATGCCTACATCTTACTTACAGCTATAACAAAGTCTCTGCACGCAACTTACTTACAGCTATAACAAAGTCTCTGCACGCAACTTACTTACAGCTATAACAAAGTCTCTATCTGCATCCTCTAAGGTATAAACCGATGTGCCTACATCTTACTTACAGCTATAACAAATTTTTATCTATATCTTACTTACAATTTAACAGTCTGGGTCTATATCTTATTTACAGCTATAACAAAGCTTCTGCACGCATCTTACTTACAGCTATAACAAATTTGTATCTATATCTTACTTACAGCTATAACAAAGTCTCTATCTGCATCCTCTAAGGTATAATCCGATGTGCCTACGTGGCCTGTGTTGATTCCCACAGTTCTGCACACGTCCTTTTCCTTGAGATAATTTCAATCATAAGTGTTCTATGGTTAATTTGATGGTCAAATATAGCAAGACGTCGCTTAAACCATGACAAAGTATTACAAGTTAGAATAGAATGACAACGATCAAAATAAGTCTTAAATAAAGGTGACAAATTCTTTTTTTTTTTTTTTTTTTTTTTTTTTTTTTTTTTTTTTTTTTTTTATTTTTTTTTTTTTTTTTTTTTTTTTTTTTTTTTTTTTGTATTATAAAGTACGGTTGTTATTGATTTTTACATTGATCCTGATCAATCTCAAATTTTACATATTACAAATACAGTTTATTAGTTATTTGTTTTTTTTATATTTTATTTATTTGTTAGTTGTAACTAGAACAGTTTAATTGTGAGTTGTAACCAGAACGGTTTATTTGTTAGTTGTAACTAGAACAGTTTAATTGTGAGTTGTAACCAGAACGGTTTATTTGTTAGTTGTAACCAGAACGGTTTATTTGTTAGTTGTAACCAGAACGGTTTATTTGTTAGTTGTAACTAGAACAGTTTAATTGTGAGTTGTAACCAGAACGGTTTATTTGTTAGTTGTAACTAGAACAGTTTAATTGTGAGTTGTAACCAGAACGGTTTATTTGTTAGTTGTAACTAGAACAGTTTAATTGTGAGTTGTAACAAGAACAGTTAAAGGCTAAATTATAAATTTTAACAAAATAATAATAATTTCATACAAATAGATAACAAATTCACATCACCATAACCTATTCTCATACTAATAGATCCTAAATTCACATCACCGTAACCTATTCTCATATTAATAGATCCCAAATTCACATCACCATAACCTATTCTCATACTAATAGATCACAAATTCACATCACCATAACATATTCTCATAACAATAGTTCACAAATTCACCTCAACACACAACTATTCTCATACAAAATTACCCCAACAAACACGTATTTCAGGTTCGTTAATAAAGTGTTCTGTAGTGCTGACAGGAATTCAAAGAACGTGGTGACCTCCCTTCTTCCATATCCTTGGAATCTTGTCTTTAAATACATTTTAAAAAAAAAACAGTTTAAAAAAAAAAACATAATGTCATATCCTCTATAACAGAATTATTTCCATTTTCTTACAATTATATTGTGAAGTTATTATTTGAAATGATTTTCAGAGGACATTTAACAGCAGGAGTTTTAAAGCATATTTTAAAGGACATTAACAGCCTAGTTAAGATTAAATTGAACTGTGTGGTTTACCTGCATCCTGATCCCATGTTCTTCTATAAATTGAACCAATTCTATAAATGCTATCTGTTGAAATGAAATAATATAATTTAGATATTAAATCATTTAAAATTATCTAAAAAAATAAAAAAAATACCATATACTCTCTAGTCTGCCTATACTTGATATTGTCTTCTCCCTAGTCTAGCCTATACTTGATACTCTCTATTGTCTATTCTAGTCTGTAATTGATACTCTCTGCTCTCTAGTCTAGCTTATAACTGATACTCTCTACTCTTTAGTCTAATCGGATATTTAATAATAATTGAAGGTCTGCAATTCAAGCAGTAGGTATGAAGTGGTAGAACAAGGCATGTTAAAGCTGGAATCAAAAGACAGGACAATATGATCTGAACGTTTCAGCTTAAAGCATTCTTTAGCGAACAGGACAAATAAAAATGTGACAAGAAACAGAGCACAGTAACAAAAGCGTTTGAGATCTACTTCCGGCTACAACAAAGGAGATCTCTAGAGTTCCTGCAACCGGGAAAACGGAAATCGCGGCTCGCAGATAAAGGCTAATAATTCTCTCCCCCTTGGCGCACAACCTCCCCCTAAACACACTTGCCAACAAATTATGGGGCTTGCTAACGGGCAATTATTTCTGAACCCAAGAAAAGTTGTATTTTAACAGTAAACTTATGTGTTTCATGAAATGTAAAAGCCTTTCCTCCCAGATCCCCTGTTCAAGTGCCAACCAGCAGCCAGACATCAATCTAGTTGATCCTTGGAGATACAGACAGAAGAAAGTAAGCTGATACTCGGAGATACAGAGAGATAACATTAAGCTGATACTTGGAGATACAGACAGAACACATTAAGCTGGTACTTGGTGATACATACAGAATAACATAAGCCTATTCTCGGAGTTACAGACAGAATAAATTAAGCTGATACTCGGAGAAACAGACATATTACGTCAAGCTGATACTCGGAGATACAGACAGAATAAGTGAAGTTGATAATTGGAGATACAGACAGAATACATAAAGCTGACACTTGGAGATACAGACAGAATACATAAAGCTGACACTTGGAGATACAGACAGAATACATAAAACTGACACTTGGAGATACAGACAGAATACATAAAGCTGACACTTGGAGATAAAGACAGAATACATAAAGCTGACACTCGGAGATACAGACAGATTACATAAAGCTGACACTTGGAGATACAGACAGAATACATAAAGCTGACACTTGGAGATACAGACATAATACATAAAGCTGACACTCGGAGATACAGACAGAATAAGTGAAGTTGATAATTGGAGATACAGACAGAATACATAAAGCTGACACTTGGAGATACAGACAGAATACATAAAGCTGACACTCGGAGATACAGACAGAATACATAAAGCTGACACTCGGAGATACAGACAGAATACATAAAGCTGACACTTGGAGATACAGACAGAATACATAAAGCTGACACTCGGAGATACAGACAGAATACATAAAGCTGACACTCGGAGATACAGACAGAATACATAAAGCTGACACTTGGAGATACAGACAGAATACATAAAGCTGACACTCGGAGATACAGACAGAATACATAAAGCTGACACTCGGAGATACAGACAGAATACATAAAGCTGACACTTGGAGATACAGACAGAATACATAAAGCTGACACTCGGAGATACAGACAGAATACATAAAGCTGACACTCGGAGATACAGACAGAATACATAAAGCTGACACTCGGAGATACAGACAGAATACATAAAGCTGACACTCGGAGATACAGACAGAATACATAAAGCTGACACTTGGAGATACAGACAGAATACATAAAGCTGACACTCGGAGATACAGACAGAATACATAAAGCTGACACTCGGAGATACAGACAGAATACATAAAGCTGACACTCGGAGATACAGACAGAATACATAAAGCTGACACTCGGAGATACAGACAGAATACATAAAGCTGACACTCGGAGATACAGACAGAATACATAAAGCTGACACTCGGAGATACAGACAGAATACATAAAGCTGACACTCGGAGATACAGACAGAATACATAAAGCTGACACTTGGAGATACAGACAGAATACATAAAGCTGACACTCGGAGATACAGACAAAATAAGTGAAGTTGATAATTGGAGATACAGACAGAATACATAAAGCTGACACTTGGAGATACAGACAGAATACATAAAGCTGACACTCGTAGATACAGACAGAATACATAAAGCTGACACTTGGAGATACAGACAGAATACATAAAGCTGACACTTGGAGATACAGACATAATACATAAAGCTGACACTCGGAGATACAGACAGAATAAGTGAAGTTGATATTTGGAGATACATACAGAATACATAAAGCTGACACTTGGAGATACATACAGAATACATAAAGCTGACACTTGGAGATACAGACAGAATACATAAAGCTGACACTCGGAGATACAGACAGAATACATAAAGCTGACACTCGGAGATACAGACAGAATACATAAAGCTGATACTTGAAGAATTATTCCAAGAGGGTTTAAACCTACCTTCCCATTACCGTCTTTGTCTAAAATATTAAAGGCAGAGTTCACATCAATGTCATCACCAAACAGCAATATTGCATTGTCTTCAGAAAAATCTTTCTAAAAATGGAGATAATAAAATAATTGTTGATAATACAATACATTTTTAATAAGACAAATATGAAATTCAAACAATAATAAATGTTTAACAGTAGTTTTGTAAATATTTTTATTAGTTAACAAAAAAATTATTATAAACAAATAAATTGGATTATTAAAAGCATTTGTTCAAAACATATCGTTAGGACAATTTACATATCTATAGGATAATTTAAATATCCATAGGACAATTTACATATCCATAGGACACTTTACATATCTATGTGACGAAATGGAGCCGATAATCACGCCGACCTACCTAGAAGGCCCCCCCCCCCACCACTTTTTTTTAAAAGGTCAGAACGGGCTATCTTCCCTGATCACAATCTGCCTCACGTGAAAAGTCAATAAACTATTGAACATTAGAACCCAGGAAAAGGTCAAGTCCCGCACTAGTGTAGACAATGTCTCATTTTGGGTGAGCCATCGTTTTTACGTCATGCATCAAATTATTAAGATCATTGGAATCGGATATCACTTGGTAGTAATCGTTCAATAAGCAATTAGAATAGAATCAGTTTAAAAGCCGTTGAACCACTAAAATCTGTCTTTCCGTGATCGACTCTTAAGGCAGCAGTCAACTTAGAGCACCTTAGAGTCGGCTTTTTCTAGACCTAGTGAGTTGTACGAACATTTCGATTTCATTTCATTATTGGACTATTTGTATGACCATGTAAACAATTAGTTAACCATTTAATGTTTTAATGTAGGTATTATCATTCTGATTAAAATGAATTTAATTAATTCATTTGTACTTTATATTTTCTCAATGTTCGACACGTGCCTTCAATATAGGACACGATGCGGCCATTTTGACTTTTGAATATCTAGATTTCATCCCATCGTATTGATGGTGATGTGGCCACTGGATATTTATTAGCCATTAAGTTATCCATTACAGTTGATTGTATATATCATTTCAATCTATCCTATACATTATTTAGTTATTGTATAATTATGTATGAAGAGATTCATTGCCACGTGTCGACGCTAGCCATCCATGCTTGCGCCGACCATGGTGAAGATGAATAAAACCATCCAGAATGGACATTAACATTTAAAATGTATATCTCCTTTGACGCCTCGATCTGAGTTCGTTGCCGTTGGAGAGGGATTTGTTATCCCAAGAATATTGGAATAGTTGTTCCCTTCGTTTCTTTTATCATCATTCACATATGGCTTGGCTGCTAGATCGCCGTACTATCATTCACATATGGCTTGGCTGCTAGATCGCCGCACTATCATTCACATATGGCTTGGCTGCTAGATCGCTGTACCTCTGCAGTACAGTCAACCCGCACCTACGCAGCTGAATTGAGGAATCGGTGTACTGAGCCCTGAGTCTATGAACCCCGCCCAGGAGCCACCTCCGGAAGACAAATTTACCGCCTGAAACAAAAGGACCGCGTGCTGATGGACTTTACTCCCAAAGAGGAGTCTTAAATACACCCACCACAGCGCACTGTGGGAAGAGGTATCCCAGATGATACAGTTGTGACTGGTATCATCCACCTGCGTGAACGCCCTGAAAAGCGTTGAGCCCTGAAAAGCTACGAGGTACATAGGACGAAGAGTCCACTTCCACAGTGAATGGATCTCTGTATAGTACTGCCGTAAAATCTACCTGCGTGAATGCCCTGAAAAGCACTGAGCCCTGAAAAGCCACGAGGTAAAAAATTAAAAAATTCACTTCCACCCTTGAAGTAATTCTATAGCATCGCTTGCTGTTTCATCCACTTGCGAGAACGCCTAAGAAGCCACGAAGGACAGGACCCGAGAATCCACTTCTACGTTGAAGTGATCTCACTTTTGTACATGATCCAACCAGATCCTCAGAGCCGCTTCATAACCTGCCACTCTTTCAGCCCACTCACGTGAACGCCCTGAGAAGCGCTGAGCCCTGAAAAGCCATAGAGTGAAGAATCGGAGGAGCCACCTCCCCATCGAAGTAAACTACTACTGAATGATCAATCCAGATGATCAAGTCAGATGATCAAGTCAGATGATCAAGTCAGATGATCAAGTCAGATGATCAAGTCAGATGATCAAGTCAGATGATCAAGTCAGATGATCAAGTCAGATGATCAAGTCAGATGATCACAGATGATCAAGTCAGATGATCAAGTCAGATGATCAAGTCAGATGATCAAGTCAGATGATCAAGTCAGATGATCAAGTCAGATGATCAAGTCAGATGATCAAGTCAGATGATCAAGTCAGATGATCAGGACAGATGATCAACCAAGATGATCAAGCCAGATGATCAACCCAGATGATCAAGTCAGATGTTCAACCCAGATTATCAGGACAGATGATCAACCCAGATGATCAACCCAGATTATCAACCCAGATGATCAACCCAGATGATCAACCCAGATGATCAACCCAGATGATCAAGTCAGATGATCAAGCCAGATGATCAAGTCAGATGTTCAAGCCAGATGATCAGGACAGATGATAAACCCAGATGATCAACCCAGATGATCAAGTCAGATGATCAAGCCAGATGATCAAGTCAGATGATCAAGTCAGATGATCAAGTCAGATGATCAAGTCAGATGATCAAGTCAGATGATCAAGCCAGATGATCAAGCCAGATGATCAAGCCAGATGATCAACCCAGATGATCAACCCAGATGATCAAGTCAGATGTTCAAGCCAGATGAAGAGCACACGTGACTGATAAGTTAAGTGTCAAGGGTCTGAGCATAAACGCTTGAGATACAAAGCAAATCAACCTTTATGATGATGCATAGGCTATATGGGAGGCCATTGTTCATAATAAACTAGAACTTAGATAAATACCTTTGCAAAGTTGTTTTACATATACTTCACCATTATGCCATATACATGTAAATAAATTAATCATTTCATTTACTAAATGGTTTTATAAAGTATTTGATATTTAAGAAAAAAATGAGTATATTATTAAGACCCTTGGTGTGTGAAATTGACATAACCTAATACTCCTAGACACAAGCAGGTGTGACACTCATCAGAGAGTTGTTCCTCCATCCCTAATATAAAATTTATTTTACCACAATATATAAGACTCACTACATATCTATAGAACTCAATTACATATCTTTAGGACTCAATACATATCTATTGGATTCAATGTATATCTATATGACTCAATATATATTTATAGGACATAATACATGTCTATAGGACTCCATATACTCACATCCTGCAAAGCATTTTTCAGCTCATCTCTGTCTATGTATTCCAAATCTGTTAAATTGTGCTTGTCTAGTACCTACCGACAAATAAATTCATGAACAATTTAATATTCGTAATGGTTGATCAATTCCAATTTACTGGCAAAATAACGTTTTAATTTCCAGAGCATTTTCTGTACTGCTCGCATGCAGTTTATTAGTATTGTATCCATAAATTGATGTACCGATCACATTTAGTTTACTAGTATTGTACCCATGAATTGCTGTACCGGTCACATTTAGTTAACTAGTACTGTACCCAGGAATTGAGGTACCGGTCAGGTTTCCTTCAGTATTATCGTACGCATTATGTACCGTACGTTCATTAACATAATCACTTGTATCCATTATTTAATCACTATCCACGTGACTACATCATCAATTTTGTCTAGTTTAATATTTTGTGTTTATGTTCATTTTCCAGTGGATCAGAAAAAGCTAGCTACCATAGCATCAGTACTTGTCTAGTCATATTGGCTACGATAGCATCAGTACTTGTCTAGTCATATTGGCTACCATAGCATCGGTACTTGTCTGTTCATATTGGTTACCGAAGCATTTATACATGTCTAGTCATATTGGCTACCAAAACATCAATACTTGTCTAGTCATATTGGCTACCAAAGCATCAATACTTGTCTAGTCATATTGGCTACCAAAGTATGTATACTTGTCTAGTCATATTGGCTACCAAAGTATGTATACGTGTCTAGTCATATTGGCTACCAAATCAGCAATACTTGTCTAGTCATAGTAGCTAACATAGTATCAAAACATGGCTGGTAATAGCTGGCCTCCATTATATAAATACTTGTGGCAGAATTGTTGCTATATTGATTGACATAAGTTTCTGTTGACTGACCCTCATGAAAGCCTCCACGGCTCTGACCATTCGGCCATGTTCCCTTTCAGCTTGTGCCAACAGTGCTTTTTTCTTCTGTTTCTGCCTAGAAGTGAATATTGTTTAATTATATTAGATTTTTTATGTTACAATGTTCAGGTAAATCACATAGTGCCTTGTCACAAGGTGCTAGATCACATAGTTCCATATCACATAGTGACATATAGCTAAGTGCCATATACTTTTTAAAAAAGATAATTCTATTTGTCGTCTGACACCACGTGAATGAAGTTCAAGGTTGCCATATGTGGTCGTCTTCAATACCACTGAGCAGAAACAGTTTTGATAGCTAACTTTGAATGTTGACATCTGTGTAGATGACAGCAAGGAACATTATTAGGGCCTTGAATTCATTCGTAGATGACAGCAAGGAACATTATTAGGGCCTTGAATTCATTCGTAGATGACAGAATGGAATAGGTTACGGGTTTTGTAGGCATCATTCTTCCATTCTAATAAACAAAATGTTGCTTTAATAAGAGAGCGAAAGGTTTTAAAACAGGTTAGACAAAAATAAGAAATAATGTAGTTCCATATAGACGTTACAGTTTAAAGGAGTTGTGTAATAATATATTGTGTTAAGGGAGATGTGTCGTATAACAATGTATATAGTGTGATGTATAATGATATATTTTGTGAAGAGAAATATTTAGTACAACTTTGTGTAAAATGGGATCTATAGTAAGATATATGTGATGGGTAAAATACGTTTGACTTTTGTTATCGAAGAACTGATCAGAATTGTGTTAGATATTCTATTCTACAATAGGGAATCGTATACTTTTGCTCTATCAAAATGGTTGTGAATAAGTTTTACAATGTATCATTACAATATCGAATGTCTAATTTTTTCATGAGTAAAAATGACAACCTTAATACAAGTTTATAAAGCAGCTGAAAACGAAAGCCTTAATAAAAGTTCATATATATGAGAATGAAAGCCTTAATAAAAGTTCATATATATGAGAATGAAAGCCTTAATAAAAGTTCATATATATGAGAATGAAAGCCTTAATAAAAGTTCATATATATGAGAATGAAAGCCTTAATAAAAGTTCATATATATGAGAATGAAAGCCTCAATGAAAGTTCATAAAGCTAAACCAGGCCAGAGAACCTACTTGAATAGTTTGGTCTGTACTGTGGGTTCCTTGGGTTCTGTGGAGCCAAGTCTTTTCTCCAAGTTAAATCTCATCACTTCCATTTCTGTGTCGTCAAACTAAAAGGAAATGGCGTAGATAGGGCATTGAAGGGCATTGGAGGGCATTGAAGGGCATTGAAGGGCATTGAAGGGCATTGAAGAGTATTGAAGGGAATTGAAGGGCATTGAAGGGTTTTGAAGGAAATTGAAGGGCATTGAAGGGCATTGAAGGACATTGAAGGGCATTGAAGGGTATTGAAGGGCATTGAAGGGTATTGAAGGGCATTGAAGGGCATTGAAGGGGATCGGGTGTTATCGTCATACTATCATAGTGCGTGATAACTGATTAAGTCCACTACATCGGTCTGTCAAATACATCAGTCTGTCCTCCACATCGGTCGGTCAAATACATCAGTCTGTCCTCTACATCGGTCTGTCAAATACATCAGTCTGTCCTCCATATAATCGTAAAATGAGAATACAGATTTGAAAAGCTCCTAATGGTCCCGTCCATAAATATAAAGCAACCAATTAGTGGTTGGGGGGGGGGGCAGTAACAGAAATTAAGTCAGCCATTATATATACATATATATATATATATATAAATGTATATTACATATACATGTCTAAATACATCAGTCTGTCCTCCATATAATCGTAAAATGAGAATACAGATTTGAAAAGCTACTAATGGTCCCGTCCATAAATATAAAGCAACCAATTAGTGGTTGGGGGGGGGGGGCAGTAACAGAAATTAAGTCAGCCATTATATATACATATATATATATATATATAAATGTATATTACATATACATGTCTAAATATATAAGAATAATAATAATAAAGTGTATTTCAAAAACACGCTTCATCCCCAAATGCTGGAAGCGCGGTACAAGTGTAAAAAAAATAAATAAATAAATAAATAAATTTATAATATATCATACATATCTATGTATATATATATATATAAAAGTGAATCAAAATTGTGGTTTCTTTGTTAGAATGTTTCACATAAGTTTGTAAACTGACTGATGAATCTTGACCAAACTTGACACATATATCTATCACCATCCGAAGAAAATCTAGGGGGGGGGGTATGAACTTTTGGGGTCGGGAGCCCTAAATTCGTTATTTCCTTATAAGGGAAATAAAAATAAAATTACCAACAAATAATTCTACATGAAAAGAAGGATCTTGGCCAAACATATTAGACAAAAACTTGATTATCCATATCTAAATACCGAAGGGTATTGAACACAAAAAATGTCCACTCCTTGGGGGCCAAGGCCATTTCATTGTTCCTTAAAGAAGGCTTAAAACAACACTGTAGGTTCTATGTGAATTGATGAACATTGACCTTGCTTGGTGGTAGCGGGGTGAGAACGCATGATCATTGTTAGCTATTTATGAAAGTGGTCAAGGCGTGATTGTGAATATGTGGTTGGCGTGGGAACTTGTGCCAACGAAAGGTACGCGGCTTTGGGAGATTGGGGGGTGGGGGGAACGGGCAGAAGGGCTCAGCGAGTGACAAGAAAGACAATGTAGTCCAGTAGTCTATTTAGACGTAGTTTCTTGTCAAAGTTTGTTAGCGGAACTTACGGTTGCATTTAGAAGAGGGGTGTTGGAAATTGTAACAATAAGCGTGTGCTAATTCTGTAGTTATAAATACAGTGTAAAGAATAATATTGAACGCACTTTGATTCTAGTTTTTTTATTCTTGTAAACTGATGTTCACACTCTATACGACATCCCTCTTCTAAATTTTGGATAAAAGCCAGATCGAGGTGGCGGCAATTATTAAACAAAGAGGAAAAGCTGATAAGTTTAAGCGATGAATGGTTTAAAGACAAGCCGAAGATGATTTCATAACATTAATATGACAATGATAAATTAATCAGCTATAAAAAAAAAGAGAAACACAAGGCTAATTAACGTAAACAATTAATCAGTTATAACAAAAGAGAAAAATATGGCTAATTGCAGCGAATAGAATTGTATGTTGTCTAGAGTTTAGCCCCCCCCCCCTCCCCGTCCCCTTTTTCGTTATGGCCACAGAATAATTTTATCGTCCAAAACTCCTTTTCTCCTAAGCCCCAACAGAGCTAATGTGTTTTAAGACGACTCACCAGTAGAAATCCAATAGATTTATCACTGAAAGGCTCGAATTTCTTAGCCATTATATTTGGAAGGTCTTTGAGAGAATTCATGCGTCGAAGAAATGTGTCAGCTTTATCCATTGAAAGAAACCATCCTGCGGATTTGTAAATTTTATATGTATCAATTTATATAACTAGTAATTACCCGTCAAAGTGACACAGCGAGAATCATTGTCTGCATAAGCGGTCGTTGGCAAATTACGTCGCGCCAAAAATGATCTTTTCAGACCCCCCCCCACTCCCCCCTGTCACAAAGTGTCACGCATTATCCCCCCCCCCTTTTTAGTATCACGTAACACCTAATAACATTGAAAACACACATACAATTTTCATAACTAAACTCAAAATTTATTTTATTCTTGAACATGTTCCCATAATGGATTAAGATGGAGTATTATTAGAAAACTGTGACGTCAAACAGAAAACAAAACAGTCCTCCCGCGCCAAATCTAAAATCTACAACAGTTTTTGCTACAGTTTTTGCTACAGTTTTTGCTACAGTTTTTGCTACAGTTTTTGCTACAGTTTTTGCTACAGTTTTTGCTACAGTTTTTGCTATGCGCAGAAGGTGTGAGCGACTGTGGTTCACGCTACTTGAAATACCTCATGCAATTTCAACTTCAAATTCATGTTTTAAAATTAATTGAATAAAGATTTTTTTAATATTAAAACATTTTATATTTAAAAAAAAAAAAAAAAAATTAAAATTGTGTGACGTCACATAATTTTGTCCCCCCTTCCCCCTCCCCCTGTCACAAAGTTTCACAAATTCTTGACCCAAACCTCCGACCCCACTGAGCGTGACATAATTCGCGAACGACCCCTAAGGCACTAAAAAATTCTTTAATGAATCTTAAAAGAATTGATTATCGGCTTTGATCGACTTTGCAATTAGCCTCACAGAAAGGTCTACGGTGACTTTCCCTTGGTATTGGAAACATTTAGTGCATTCACTTCATTAAAACTTTATTTAGATTATTTCCCTTCTTGCTATACATGCACTTTAAAATTAGATGGTACGATGATAATCAGTAATAATAATCAGCTACAAAGAAACGTGTTTAATGATGCATAATTATACCTTATAGTTGAGTCCTCTCAAATTCTGTTTGAAAATCAGATTTCTTTTAAGTTTCTCTCATTTAGTTTAAGCTGCCCCTACATATGCCGGGTTAGGGTTAGGTTTAAGCTTGCCCTACATTTGCGGAAGGCTTCTGTTATCAGATACAACCAAAATTTACCGTCATAGCATTGTATGGGATAGTTACACAAAACTCCTCCGTCCACATAGGTGTCAAACTGGCCATGGTTGTCATAGACCCTGGCAGTGAAAACTCCTGAGAATAACATTTTATCATTTGTATATTTTAAGACAACACTAGATTTTTGTAATATGAAATTAAAAACGTACGTCAGCACACGAGTAGAGGTCTGGCTAGACATGAGTAGACCAGTGAAGGTCAAACTAGACCTCAGCAGACCAGTAAAGGTCAAACTAGACGTCAGCAGACCAGTTGAGGCCAAACTAGACCTCAGTAGACCAGTTAAGGTAAAACTAGACGTCAGCAGACCAGTAAAGGTCTAACTAGACGTCAGCAGACCAGTAAAGGTCAAACTAGACGTCAGCAGACCAGTAAAGGTCAATCTAGACGTCAGTAGACCAGTAAAGGTCAAGCAAGACGTCAGTAGACCAGTAAAGGTCAAACTAGACGTCAGTAGACCAGTAAAGGTCAAGCAAGACGTCAGTAGACCAGTAAAGGCCAGGCTACACGTCAAACGTAAATGTTTAAATAAATTATTTGAAACTAATAATGGTGATACAGTTTGTTACAACTTCACTGTTACCTACTTGATAACAATTATTTAAAATAGTCCTATCTACCTGGTACGTCAATGGCCATTCATTTGAACTATCTACCTGGGCTGTTTACCTGGTATGGCCATGGCCATTCAATGGGCCTATCTGCTTGGTATGATCACGTACTTATTTCAATGGAGCTATCTACTTGGTATGGTCATTGATATTAAGTGACCTATCTACTTTGCATGAATATTACTATGCAATGGGCCTACCTACCTGGGATGGCCATGGACATACGAAGTGCTTCTCGTATTGGCATGTCTGGGGTAGTCTTCGGGTGGCAATACTCAGACCTCATTTGGTTTAAGTTTGTCACAACAACACAAAGCTCCATTTGTCTCTCTCTGTATAACTGTCAAATACATTTACAACAGAATAAATTTGTGTTAGCTTTACCTCAGGTACAGAACTATCTGTTCTCCTATCAACTCTAAAGATATTACATGTCCTAAAATTAATATCAGCATATTCTAAGCAACGTTTTTAAGACACATCTTCAACGATCATTGTAATGTACTCCCAGAGCTTTGATAGATCTTCAACATTCCTTGTAATGTACGTCCAGAGCTTAGATAGATCTTCAATAATCTTTGTAATGTACGTCTACAGCTTAGATGGATCTTAAACACCCCATGTAATGTATGTCCACAGCTTAAATAAATCTTCAACATTCCTTGTAATGTAAATGCAGAACATAAGTCCTAAGGAATGCGTTACATAAGTCCTCTCTATAGCAAAGTCTAAGAATGCGTTAAAGAATTCATCTCTGTAGCACAATCTAAGAATGCGTTACATATGTCCTCCCTGTAGCACAGTCTAAGAATGCATTTAAATTAAAATATTGAAACTTGTTTATAGTAATGTAAATATAAAAATACATATTATATTTCCTAGGGGAAAAAAAATAAGGTGGCTTTTCCAAAGTTCTCCATGAGCAAAAAATGAAAACGCGGTTAGAAATATGTTCATGCATCTCCTGTTAATTTTGCACTTTTTCAGTTTGTGAGAATTTTTTTAAAACTTTTCCTTTTTTCCTCGATTTTGACTTACTTTTTTGTATGGGCCAAGATCATAACGTGTTTTTCTCATACACAAGAATAAAACATTGATGGGCCACACATAGTCACACATTGCCGCACATGACCACTAATGGCCATAGATGACCACACATGGCTAAACATGGCCACAAGTAGCCACATATAGTCACCGGCCAGACATTCAAGTTAGTTTATGTTATTAATATTTTTTAAATTTTAAATTTTTTCAGATGTCAGAAAAAAGTAACAGACTCTTAATTGTGTATCTCAATTTCATAGAATAAATTTTTTTATACATTTTGTTCATTTGTATTTTGATAAAATTAAAAATACAAGTCTAGTTTCATGGAGTTTACATAAAGATTCAGTGAGTTCTTACGTCATAGAACGTCATGTCCGGATTATTGGATTCCGACCTTGACTTGATTCTATCTCCGAACCAATTAAAAATCTTCTTTCCAGGATTCCAGCCGAATTTCCGGATGAGATTTGGCAGGAGACTCAGGTAGCCACACGAGTGGTCTGTGTGAGGGAGTGGGTGGGAGTGGGACAACACATGAATATTATGAGATTTGGCAGGAGACTCAGGTAGCCACACGAGTGGTCTGTGTGAGGGAGTGGGTGGGAGTGGGACAACAAATGAATATTAAATTACAGTAGTTCTTCACACTAAAAACTTAAACGTTCTAAGATAAAACGTAAGAGCAAGTGGAAATATATGCATACATTTTTCGTATTTAAGACACATTTTTATATAAGCTGGAAATTAAAAAAAAAAACACAAACATGTAACCAAAGAACATATTTTAATTACGGTGTTACTTTTTCATGGCTCATTTTTTTAGTGACTAAGTGGTCGTATAGCTAAAAGGTCAAAGTTCAAGTAAAATGTTGAGAGAAAAATACTTGCGTTGTTTTGCTGTTACAAAATTGAAATTTGTTTTGTATAAAACTTATTATTTAGTTTAGTTAAATAAAGTAGAATACGTAATATAAAAAAATATTAAATATTATAAAAATATAATTTATAAATTATTTAATAAAAAATACAATCCATCCATATAAAAAAAAAATTATATGAAATATTAACTATAAAACATAATATATTTCAATATGTTCAATTTATTTCTCTACCATTTGTTTGTGTATAATTTTAAATTATTATTTTTTTAATTCTAAAAATAGTAAGATTATATAAAATGCCTTGCAAAAACTTACCTAAGAAAACATCTTCTATATTGTCTGATAGAAATACTTCTATATCTCTAGCTGAGTAGCCCAGGGCGACCAATGCTGCAGTAATGGCCCCTGCACTACTGCCCCCTATGCGCCTAATCTGTGACATCATCCCAATCTCCTCTAAATACTGGGGAAATAAATGGTGACATTTGATCAATTTCACCTCTTCATTAAAGGGGAAATAAATGGTGGCATTTGATCATCCCAATCTCCTCTAAATACTGGGGAAATAAATGGTGAGATTTGATCAATTTCACAACTTTAATTAAAGGGGAAATAAATGGTGAGATTTGATCAATTTCACCTCTTCAATTACAGGGGAAATAAATGGTGAGATTTGATCAATTTCACCTCTTCAATTACAGGGGAAATAAATGGTGAGATTTGATCAATTTCCCCTCTTCAATTACAGGGGAAATAAATGGGAACTCTTATTTTCAAAAAACTATTTTAAATGGTAGGTAAACATGGGCAATGGTTTATCAGTTTAATAATTTCTAAATATTTGAACATAAATGGTATATAAATGGTAATAAAATGGTAATGTTTTTAAAATGTCATCAAATGGAAGACATTTAAAAGCAACGTTTGGCTAGTCGAAATCTTTTCTGTTTTGCCCACCGTTATTGTTACACTCTAAAGAACATCACAATTATAAGGCTATTTACAGAAGCGTAACACTGAACACTACTTTGCTACCATTGCAATACTGTAGATATCATTGCTTCAATTTTAGTAATTAAATGGATTTTTGCGTTTTAGAGTATTTTTACCTGCGGTGTAAGAGAATGTTTGCACCATATCGATCTTCACATTTATCACAAAATTTTTCTTCACATTTCTCACCCATTGGTCTTATCATGTCTCACCAAACTGGTCTTCACATTTCTCACCAAATCGGTCTTGACATTTATAAACAAATTGGTTTTATAATGTCTCACCAAATTGGTCTTGTCATGTCTCACCAAATTGGTCTTCACATTTCTCACTAAATTGGTCTTCACATTTATGAAATAATTGGTCTTGACATTTCTCACAAAATTGTTCTACACATTTCTCACAAAATTGGTCTTTACATTTCTCACCAAATTGGTTTTCACATTTCTCACCACATTGGTCCTCATATTTCTCACTAAATTAATCTTCACATGTATCATAAAATTGTTCTTCACATTTCTCTCCAAATTGGTCTTCACATTCATCAACAAATTGGTCTTCATATTTCTCACTAAAATGCTCTTCATATTTCTCACTAAATTGGTCTTCACATTTCTCACCAAATTGGTCTTTACATTTCTCACAAAATTGGTATTCATATGTCTCACTAAATTGGCTTTCACATTTCTCACCAAGTTGGTCTTGACATTTCTCACCAAATTGGTCTTCACATTTCTCAGCAAATTGGTCTTCAAATTTCTCACATAGCATCCATTCTCTCGCATTACTTGCAATTAAATGTTGTCTCAGACATTGATTGTACCTTTGTACCTTGCTATCTGCTGTTGTCTCAGACGCACTTTTAAAACAGTGTACGACTTTTTCAGACCATTCCCAAGAAATTTGTTATCACTTGGTGATTGCAGAGGCTAATCATATATCTCTAGCCGAGGTTAATCTTATATCTCTAGCCGAGTCTAACCTATATCTCTAGCCGAGGCTAATCATATATCACTTGCCGAGGCTAGTCTTATATCTCTAGCCGAGGCTAATCCTATATATCTAGCCGAGGCAAGTCTTATATCTCTAGCTACCAAAGCTAGTCTTATATCTCTAGCCACCAAAGCTGGTCTTATATCTCTAGCCACCAAAGCTAGTCTTATATCTCTAGCCACCAAAGCTAGTCTTATAGCTCTAGCCACCAAAGCTTGTCTTATATCTCTAGCCGGGGCTAATCCTATATATCTAGCCGAGGCTAAACTATATTTCTAGCCGTGGCTAATGTACATCTCCCTCCAGTCTAATGTATATTTCTATACGAAGGTTATCTATATTTCTAAAGAAGTGGCTTTTCGGACCCGGGTCCACAAAGCTAGAGGTTGGGATTAAAATTTTAAATAAAATATTATTGTTAGGTTGTAAGACTAAGTTTGATATCAAATAAAGGATAATTGAATGGACTATATGATTGTAAACTTAGTTCTTCAGTTTAACTAAAATAAACTACCACAAATGACATCCGAATAGCATTGAGTCTAAAGGGACCCGGGTCCGAATAGCGGCGATGCGTTTCCGGTTCCATTTTGACTAAATGCCATTCGGATGTCATTTGGGGTAGTTTATTTTAGTTAAACATAGTTTAAGTAAGTTTAGAAACATATAGTCCATTCAATTATCTTTCATTTGATACCAAACTTTGTCTTACAAACCTTACAATAATTTTTTTAATATTTTTTAATAAACCCAAACACTCAACGTGTCCGAATAGCGCATCCTATTTCTAGCTGAGGCTAATGTATACCTCCAGCCAGTCAAATCTACATACTCTATGTTCTCTGCCATAACTTCTTCTCGAATTCCAGCCCTTCCAGTCTTACCGAACTTTTTTCTGTCTATTCACCCCTTCGACAGCTTTGCTCCTCCGCGGCCTCACATATTATTTCTGTCCCCAAGACTCGCACAAAACATAACACGACATATATTACTCTCTCAGGTGTGCGTATTGAGTTAGCTCAAACAGTGCGGTACTTGGGTGTCTACCTAGACAGAAGACTAACCTTGGAAAGTCATATTAACATGCTATGCAAGGCGATTTTTCTGGAGCTGCGCAGGATTAGTCACATCAGGCCCTTCCTAACAATTGATGCAACAAAGAGGCAGATGTCTGCATTTGTGCTATCACGCATGGACTATTGCAATGCTCTCATGGTGGGTCTTCGAGCTACGCTCCTGGACAAATTTCAAATAGCACAGGATAATGATGCTCGCATTGTTCTTAGCAAACGCAAGTTCGACCATGCTAAAACATGGCTGCCGGTCCGTGCTCGCATAGTGTACAAAATCGCAACGTTGTGCTACCACTGTTTACATGGCCTGGCGCCGTCCTATCTGAAAGAGCTGCTGACGTCTTATGTACCCACTAGACAACTCCGCTCATCCTATAGTGGCAAACTCTCGACACCACGTGTTTGCCTTGAGACTTACGGAAAGCGCCTTTCGCATTTGCTGGTCCAACAATTTGGAACGCCCTTCCAGTCGATCTCAGAAACAACCAGACACTGGAGTCCTTTAAAACCGATTTAAAGACACATCTATTTCGCAATCACCTTCTTTGATGATTGTCTACGTCTACCATATCTTCCAGTTAATGCATATTGGCTGTGTTGCTTAGGGTTGTAATGGGTAGAAAAACTTTGACTTGGTATGCTTGTAATTAGTCTTTGTAGTGTTGCGTTTGTTTTAAATGTGGTAAATACCCACCACCAATACCCACCCCTTACCTTCTTTTGATCATAACATTGCTTTTCCCTTACACCCAACAAAGATCAAACCATTCCTTCCCTCACACCCCCAAAATATATCAAACCATTCCTTCCTTCACACAGCCAACATAGATCAAACCATTCCTTTCTTCATACACCCAACATAGGTCAAACCATTCCTTCCCTCATACAGCCAACATAGATCAAACCATTCCTTCTCTCATACACCCAACATAGATCAAACCATTCCTTCCCTCATACACCCAACATAGATCAAACCATTCCTTCCCTCATACACCCAACATAGATCAAACCATTCCTTCCCTCATACACCCAAAATAAATCAAACCATTCCTTCCCTCATACACCCAACATAGATCAAACCATTCCTTCCCTTATACATCCAAAATAAATAAAACCATTCCTTCCCTCATACACCCAACATAGATCAAACCATTCCTTCCCTCATACACCCAACCTAGGTCAAACCATTCCTTCCCTCCAACAACCCAACCTAGGTCAAACCATTCCTTCCCTCATACACCCAACCTAGGTCAAACCATTCCTTCCCTCATACACCCAACCTATGTCAAACCATTCCTTCCCTCATACACCCAACCTATGTCAAACCATTCCTTCCCTCATACATCCAACATAGATCAAACCATTCCTTCCCTCATACATCCAACATAGATCAAACCATTCCTTCCCTCATACATCCAACATAGATCAAACCATTCCTTCCCTCATACATCCAACATAGATCAAACCATTCCTTCCCTCATACATCCAACATAGGTCAAACCATTCCTTCCCTCATACATCCAACATAGGTCAAACCATTCCTTCCCTCATACACCCAACCTAGATCAAACCATTCCTTCCCTCATACATCCAACATAGATCAAACCATTCCTTCCCTCATACATCCAACATAGGTCAAACCATTCCTTCCCTCATACACCCAACCTAGGTCAAACCATTCCTTCCCTCATACATCCAACATAGATCAAACCATTCCTTCCCTCATACATCCAACATAGATCAAACCATTCCTTCCCTCATACATCCAACATAGGTCAAACCATTCCTTCCCTCATACATCCAACATAGGTCAAACCATTCCTTCCCTCATACACCCAACCTAGATCAAACCATTCCTTCCCTCATACATCCAACATAGATCAAACCATTCCTTCCCTCATACATCCAACATAGGTCAAACCATTCCTTCCCTCATACACCCAACCTAGGTCAAACCATTCCTTCCCTCATACATCCAACATAGATCAAACCATTCCTTCCCTCATACATCCAACATAGATCAAACCATTCCTTCCCTCATACATCCAACATAGGTCAAACCATTCCTTCCCTCATACATCCAACATAGATCAAACCATTCCTTCCCTCATACATCCAAAATAAATCAAACCATTTCTTCCCTATTACACCCAACATGTGGCAAATCTTGTTCTTACCTTAATACAACCAACATAGGCCAAACCTTTGTTTCCTCCTCCTTCAAATATAAGGTTCTCAAATGGAAACCTATATTCCTCAGGTTTCACAATGACGGCCGCACTGTCTGTTTGGTCAACACATGAAGAGAGCCGCTGTAGGAGGTTTTTCTTTAACTGTATGTCTAAACAAAAAGATATGATATGTTATAGAATATACCATTTATAGAACATGTCGTTTATAGAACATGCCATATATAGAAAATGCCATTTTGAGATATGTTATTTATAGAACATTTCATTTAAAGAACATGCAATTTGTAGAACATGCCATTTATAAAACATGTCATTTATAGAACATTTCACTTATAGCACAAATCAATTAACATCGAGTGCATTGAAAGATATTGTCAACTATTCTTATTCTTTACATATGTATGTATTCCCGTCTGTGTTTTTTCCTATATGTTATTTATGTTATTTTCTTCTTTCAAGCCTTAAGGATTTATTTAATCCATATAAATAGTCAGCTCTCCTTGGTTTTCGTAAGTCAAGTTTTGAATTAAGAAATCTAAATAGATTTTAACTGATATATTTTGGCAGATGACGAATAATTTTATGTTGTTTTGAACATTTCTCAAACAGTCACATACAAGAAGAGATTAATAAGACACGAACAAATTGTGTCAATATAACAATATAAGTTACGCTTTAATAATAATTGTACATTATACACAAGTAAACGTTTCGGCACATGCCTTCATCGGTACAAAAAACAACAACATTTAAATAAGTATAAATTAAATTCACATACTATAACTGTACATATCCTACCTAAAAAAGAAAAAAAATAGGAGAGGGCGCTAAAACCAGACACAAAGTAAAGAGGAATAGAAGGGAAGTAATTTGAACTTAATTGTAAAAACCAAACAGGAAAAAGACATGGCAGCTAGGTAAAGTTGTGGATTTGGTTCATTCCATATGGACACAACGTACCAAACCTTGTTATTAATTTGTTCTCCATACAGATTCTATCTGTAGTGTTACTAGTATAGAGTAAACCAGTAACTGCGATGTCTGAGATACCATCATGGTTAGGGCTATTGAAATGTTTGGAGACCGGACAGAGAGCTTGTTTATTTATGTTATAGAGGTGCTCTCTGAACCTGCCACCAAGGCGACGACCTGTCTCTCCTTTGTATACTTTACCGCACTTTTTGCAAATGATGGTGTAAACCACCTTGCGACTTGTGCAGGTAAAGCCATCTTTTATTCTAAATACTTCCAGAGGGAAAGTTATCTTATCAGTTTCGATCAATTAGGGACATGAGTTACAACGGCTAAGGTTGCAACTTTTTGTGCCTTTAAGTGCTTTAATAGTAGGGAGGAGGCTTCTAACTAGGATGTCCCAACTCTACTATTAACAACTACCAGTTGATGGACGATCTCAAGGCCACAATTTCTTGTTTTTGGCGAGCAGAAATGTTATAAATATGTGTTATGCACTGCCTTCTAATGTGAAAAATTAATCTCATATTTTAAATTTATGGCTCGTTCAAACATGGCCTAAAAAGGACGGTACGATAAAGAAACGCAAATAACAAAAGTACGACACCCAAAACAGTACCAATTACAATTATTAAGATTTAATTTAGTAATAATACAGTTACAAAACAAAAGAAATATCGTTACAAATCTTCAACTTACAGAGTATCTTAAAATCTGGTAGATCTTGTTCCGGTACACCAAGAATACAATGTGCCAATTTATAACGTACAATGACGAAAGCGAATAAACACATAAGTACACAAAGAATAATATACGTCTCGTGAAGGTAAAATATATCTATCTGAATCTCCGTCCCTCTCGATATCTGTCAATTCTTTATATATGTGCGTCTCGCGAAGCGTTTAGAAACGCCCTTACGTTTCTAATACAATCGAGAACGTTCCATAAGATACTAGTAGACATACTAACCAATGGTTAATTGGAAGTCGGTATTAAACACGATACTTCAAAGAATAAGCCACGCTCACTACAAACGCTACCGTCTGCTAGGGATCTAATGTGGGGTGAAACAAAGTTCAAGCACGGGAAAAAAGTGTGCTACATAACATCTGACTAGAGAGATCTGATATAATCGACTAGTGAAATGTGATATAATTGATTAGAGAAATAACCATACATTATTCGGATTAAAATAATCTCACCTCTTGATTCTTTGATGGCGTCATCTACATGTGACATTTGTAAAACTTGAGCCTCTCTTTTCTTAAGCATCTCTTGGTACCTGGTTGGTGTCAGTACAACGTAGTAGATAATGACGCAATGAAAGATAAAGAGAGAGAGAGAGAGAGAGAAAGAGAGAGACAGAGAGAGAGAGAGAGAGAGAGAGAGAGAGACAGAAATTGAGCATGTGTTGGTACCTGGTTAATGACAATCGAAAATATTAGATGATGACACACTGCGAGATGGAAATGGAGTGAGCGAGATAAATTAAGTGCGCACTTAGTTATAGATAATATAACACTTAGTTATAGATAACATAAATCTGTGGTTCCCAATCTGTCCTCCACAAAAACCTAAAGGCCCCACATTACTTCCCAAGTGTTCGTCGTCTGCTTCGTGTCCATTAACACTGCTACTTGGCCCCGTAATAATGTTCCTGAAGACAATTGTCATCAAAACATAGGTTAGGCCTGACTGGCAAACTCTCTGATTAAAAATTGCTTCGGAAAATTACCCCGCAATGAGGACCATACGATTTACTGAAGACCATAAGATTAACTGAGTAAAATAAGATTGCATGAGGACTGAGGACAATGAGATTGACAGAGAACTGATTACAATAAGATTGACTGAGCACTGCGGAAAATACGATTGACTGAGGACTGAGTAAAATAAGATTGATAAGGTCTGAATACATAAGATTGACGGAGAACAATAAGATTGACCTAGGGCCAAAATATTGACAGGGGACAATAAGATTGACTGAGTACAATAATATTGACTGAGGACTGAGTACATAAGATTGGTGGAGGTCCATAAGATAGAACTAGGTCAAAAAGATTGATAGGGGACAATAAGATTGATTGAGTACAATAAGCTTGATCTTGAACTGGGGACAATAAGATTGACTGAGGACTGAGAACATAAGATAGACGGAGGACCATAAGATTGACCTTGGTCAATAAGATTGACTGGGGACAATAAGATTGAATGAGAACTAAGGTGAATTAGATAGACTGAGGACTGAGGACAATATTTTATTTAGTTATTTATTTAGGCATTTTTATATAGCGCTTACCTTAAAGCTCTAAGCGCTTTACAATTATTAAAAACATGTAAACTAAGTAAAATTAAAATGAGACACTAGGATAGTAACTACTATACTATAGAAACAATGAAAATGGCTATAAAACGAGGACACTTTGACACGTTTTGGCCTATACTTCAGGATCAACCCGAAACAGAAAATGAGGCAGGGCAAGGAGGGTGCATCACAGGTCATATGCGGACCTAAACAGATGAGTTTTAAGGGACTTTTTGAAAATGGACGAGGTTTCACAATGACGGATATGGAAGGGGAGCTGGTTCCAGAACGTGGGCCCATGGAAGTAGAAGGAGCGTTCACCGATTGGTCTTAGTTTTGGTTCTTGGGATTGAGAGGGTTCTACTGTCAATGGAAGAACGTATATGATGGACTGAGGACTGAGGACAATATGATGGACTGAGGACAATATGATGGACTGAGGACTGAGGACAATATGATGGACTGAGGACTGAGGACAATATGATGGACTGAGGACATTATGATGGACTGAGAACTGAGGACAATATGATGGACTGAGGACCATAAGTTTGCCAGAGGACACGAAGATTGACTGAGGATTAAGGTCCATTAGACAGAATGAAGAATGAGGACCATGAGATTCACTGAAGACCATAAGATTCACTGAGGTCAATAAGACTGACTGGGGACCATAAGATAACTGAGGACTGGGGACAAAAGATAGACTGGGGACTGAAGATCATAAGATTGACTGAGGACCAAAAGATTGACTGAGATCAATAATATTGACTGAGGACTTCATTAACTGAGGACTGAGTACCGACAGATTGACTGAAGACCATACGATTGACTGAAGACCATAAGATTTACTGAGGACTTACATTGACTGAGGACTGAGTACCGACAGATTGACTGAGGACCATAAGACAGACTGAGGACTTACATTGACTGAGGACTGAGTACCGACAGATTGACTGAGGACGATGAGATAGATTGAATGAGTTTGGGCACCTAGCCAAAGTTTTACTGTAAAGATTTCTTTTTATATGGTGTTTTTTTTGTTTTTTTTTTTTGTTCTACGCCAATCTCCGGTGACGTTCCAGTCATGTCAAAATAAAGAAATGTTCCTAAAGTTCCTTCCATCAACTCTTGTTTCCCTATTTTGCGAGGCTCATGTCAAATGTACAACCCCTCCCCCCCCCCCAAAACCCCCCCCCCCCCCTTTTTTTAATTCGCCATAAAAAGGAAGAAAAAAAATCACCACGCGGAGATGAGCGCGCCCCCCCCACCCCCTTCCTTACAACACACCTCGTCCAACTACTGCAGCAGCTGCCTTACTTGCGGGTTGATTCTCACATCTGGTTCATTTATCCAAATCAGCGGTCCCCAAACGGTGTTCCATGGACATGGACCGGCCCGAGAGCCTTCCGTTGTCGGTCCGCACAACATGAATGTCTGTGGTCACATTAATTAAGGAAATATATTGAAATACATCTGTCACCGGCGCAGTTTCAAAACTTGGTCTACGGACCCGCCCAAACTCAACAGTCTGGGATACACTTAATGCTAGATGCTTTCATCCGTCGCACGCGTTTGTGCACTACTCCCACTGACCCGAGTGCCGGGAAACGCGTTTTGTGTCCGAAAACCCTAAGTCTATGGGAACATCCCCACACTACGGCTGAAGGCTGCTACTTTCATCGTTAAGGCTACTTCCCACGACCACGGCCCCTCTTCACTAAATGTCCCACTCACTTATTCCCCCTTCACTAATGGTCCCTTCACTACTGTCCCACTTCACTAATGCCCCTTTACTGATGCCCCTTTACTGATGCCCCTTTACTAATGTGCCCCTCACTAATGTCCCGTTCACTAAGGCTTCACTAATGCCCCCCTTGACTATTGTCCCATTTACTAATGCTTCTCTTATGCCCTCCTTCACCGATGCTTCACTAATGCCCTTCTTTCACTAATGCCCCTTCACTAATACCCCTTCACTGGTGTCCCCTCTCACCAATGTCCCTCCTTCACTAATACCCCCTTAACTAAAGCTCGCCTTCACTGATGCCCCTTTCACTAATGCCTACTTCACTAATGTCCCACTTCACTAATGCTTCACTAATGTCCCCCTTCACCAATCCCCCCTTCACTAATGACCCCCTTAACCCTTTGCACTACTGTCAATAGCAACGTTTTGTTATGATATATCATACGATTGAAAAGTAACCAACCATTTTAATTCAGAAAGTTGTAAAAAAAAAATTTAATTAAAAATGACAATTCTAAAATAGTTGGTTTACCATTTATCCAACAAAACCCAGGCGACACCACGTACAACAAGACATCAAACAATACAGCAAAAATGACATCAAGAATACCATCAAACATAACATCAAACATAACATCAAACCTACCATAAAATATAACATCAAACATAAAATCAAACATAACATCAAACATAACATCAAACATAGCATGAAACATACCATCGAACATACAATAAAAAAAATCAGATATAGCATCAAACATACCATCAAACAAAACATCAAAAATAACATCAAGCATACCATCAAGCATACCATCAAGCATACCATCAAGCATACCATCAAACATACCATCAAACATACCATCAAACATAACAACAATCATAAAATCAAACATAACATCAAACATACCATCAAACATAACATTAAACATAACTTTTAAAAATAACATCAAACAAAACATCAAATATAACATCCAACATACATCAAACTTAACATCACACATAACATCAAACATAACATCAAACATGACATCAAACATACCATCAAACATAACATCAAACATAACTTCAAACATAACTTCCAACAAAATATCAAACATACCATAAACATATCGTCAATCATAACATCAAACATAAAATCAAACATAAGATCAAACATAAAATCACACATAACGTCAAAAATACCATCAAACATACCATCAAACATAACATCCAACATATCATCAAACATAACATCCAACATAACATCAAACCTACCTTAAAATATAACATCCAACATATTATCAAACATACCATAAACATACTATCAAACATAACATGAAACAATACATCAAACATACCATTAAACAAAAAATCAAACATAGCATCAAACATACCATCAAACATACCATTAAACATAACATCCAACATAACATTAAACACACCATCAAACATACCATCAAACATACCATCAAACATAACAACAATCATAAAATCAAACATAAAATCAAACATACCATCAAACATAACATTAAACATAACATCAAACATCACATCAAACAAAAATCAAACATAACATCAAACATAACATCAAACATACCACCAAACATAACATCAAACATAACTTCACAAAAAAATCAAACAAATATCAAACATAACATCAAACATAAAATCAAATATAACATCAAACATAACATCAAACAAAACATCAAAAATAACATCAAACCAACATCAACCTGAATAAACCGGTCAATAACGTCACTTACTTCTTTTTACTTGTTTGAACTCTGCGATGTGCTTCAGTATTTCTGGATGAACTTGCCCAGTTGCCCATGGTATGACGTTTCAAATCACGTGGTAAACCACTTGGGGAAAAATTGAAACAATGCACACAACTAGAGCATTTATCAATACGTATTGAGAAGAAACAAATCAGTGGAAAACGTGTGTGTTTGTTTGATGGTTCTTTGTAAGTTAGCTGTTGTTTTAAACACCACTGGAAGAGATTGTCCAAGAACTATCAATAGTTCATTGAATAGACCCTTGAGCTTCCATCTCAACAACCTATCATAAAAAAAAAGTTCTAAAACTAGTGATAAAAATAATTTTGTACAAGAATCTCTTTCAAAGAACACTTTCTACTCTCTGAGACTTAGAAAATATTTTTAAAAAACAACAACAAGATCCTACAGTTAGGGTCTAAGAGTTAATGGAAGCGAAAGGGGTGGAATTTGTTTTGTTTTTCTAAATCACGTTGTCTTTTTTGTTTTGTCTTTTTTTTTCTCTTTTCTACATCCTTCAAATCTCCGCCCCCTCCCCCGTGCCGGATGACTGGAGCCCTCAATCAATGATAGCAACTCAGGTGCGATCTTACATGTACGTAACTGGTAGACGCGATAAACTTGGCGAGAGAGTCACGTGTGAGACCAGGAGAGCGTCATGTGTGAATTGTCGAGGGTCACGTGGTATATAAAAAAATGTTTGATGTTTCAAATTGACGGCTTTGAGATGACAAAAAAGTCTTTAAAAACTAATTTGAAACTAGTGTACTCTTTAATTAGATTGTGTTCAACGCATGGATGGATCAAATGACTGCTCGGTTCCAAGACCAGGCTAAACACGTGTCATGGTTTATTGTTCATTTCCTTGTGTTCTCGTTTTTTGGGTTCATTTGGTTGTAAAATTTAAAGAATTTAGTCTCTAATAGAAATGTTTAACGTCAATGTTGCGAGAAACAAATGCCAGACTTTATGGTATCCCACAAGTCAGAAAAAAAAAGAGCCAGACTTTATGGTATCCCACAAGTCAGAAACAAAAGCCAGACTTTATGGTGTCCCACAAGTCAGAAACAAAAGTCAGACTTTATGGTATCCCAAGAGTCAGAAACAAAATTAAGACTTTATGACATCCCACAAGTCAGAAACAAAAGCCGGACTTTATGGTATCCCACAAGTCAGAAACAAAGCCTGACTTTATGGTTCATCCAAGTCAGAAAGAAAGCCTGACTTTATGGTATTCCACAAGTCAGAAACAAAGCCTGACTTTATGGTATTATACAAGTCAGAAACAAAGGCCATATTTTATTGTATCATACAAGCTTCCTGCTGGAAGTCTTCGCCTTTGCTGGTTAACAAATACCACTCATCACATTTACAGTGTATTCACGTCAGTGGATTTGTAAAGGTTTGTTCAAATCGAGGCGGGCCAGGATGTTATCTACCTAAAAAGAATGCATTAGGCCACAAATACCACCCCTCCATAAAAAGAAATGCATCGTTGGGGGCTGACCTCCCTCATCCACTGCCCCATCTCTACATCATTGATTCCGGCACTCATTCTTTAAAAAATTACTCACGCGAAATAAATAAAAACAATTTGTACTCAAACTTACTACCCTATCCAACTTGCTACGTCATCAAACTTACCTTATCATCAAACGTACTATGTCATCACACTTACAGTGTCATCAAACTTACTATGTCATCAAACTTACTACTCATCAAACTTACTATGTCATCAAACTTACTATATCATCAAACTTACTACGTCATCAAACTTACAATGTCATCAAACTTACTACTCATCAAACTTACTATGTCTTCAAACTTACTATGTCATCAAACTTACTATGTCATCAAACTTACTACGTTATCAAACTTACTATGTCATCAAACTTACTATGTCATCAAACTTACTATGCCATCAAACTTACTATGTCATCAAACTTACTACGTCATCAAACTTACTATGTCATCAAACTTACTATGTCATCAAACTTACTATGCCATCAAACTTACTATGTCATCAAACTTACTACGTCATCAAACTTACTATGTCATCAAACTTACTATGCCATCAAACTTACTATGTCATCAAACTTACTACTAAAGACATCAATACAGACATATTGGCAAGTTGTTATTTTATTTCCATTTTTAACAACTTCTGATGTCGACTTTTAACAGATGGAGTTGTCTACATAAGTTGGTGAAAGTAAGGCTTAGATTCCTGAAGTAAGAACCTAAATAAACATTATGTTGCATCAAAACACATACGACTTGACATCAAAAGACATACAACATGACATCAAAACACATACGACTTGACATCAAAAGACATACAAGATGACATCAAAACACATACGACTTGACATCAAAAGACATACAACATGACATCAAAACACATACGACTTGACATCAAAAGACATACAACATGACTTCAAAACACATACGACATGACATCAAAAGACATACAATATGACATCAAAACACATACGACTTGACATCAAAACACATACGACTTGACATCAAAAGACATACAACATGACTTCAAAACACATACGACATGACATCAAAAGACATACAAGATGACATCAAAACACATACGACTTGACATCAATAGACATACAACATGACATCAAAACACATACGACTTGACATCAAAAGACATACAAGATGACATCAAAACACATACGACTTGACATCAAAAGACATACAACATGACATCAAAACACATACGACTTGACATCAAAAGACATACAACATGACATCAAAACACATACGACTTGACATCAAAAGACACACAACATGACATCAAAACACATACGACTTGACATCAAAAGACATACAACATGACTTCACACAAAGCAAAGACTTGTTCAGTCCACAAATATCGAAACTTTTGCTGAGAGGAAAGCTTTGATAATTAATTTGTTTTCTTTTCTAAATTTTAACAAAGAAAAATTATTTATTTGGTTAGTCCACAGTAGACCACAATATATATTGTGTTCATGAATTAAACTTTCCAGTTACTAGATCATTTGATTATAGCAATTCATTAACAAGGTCAATTGGGTAAGAAAATTCACTTGCAGGAACAGTTAGGTATAACAATCCATTTACAGGGTCATTTAGGTATAACAATCCACTTGCGGGATCAGTTTGGTATAACAATGATTTTAAAGGGTCAGTTATGTACAACAATACACTTGCATGGTCATTTAGGTATAACAATCCATTAACAGGGTCTGTTAAATATAACAATCCACTTACTGAGTCAGTTAGATATAACAATTAAATTAAAAGTGTCAGTTAGGTATAACAATCCATTAACAGAGTCAGTTAGGTATAACAAGCCATTCACAGAGTCAGTTAGATTAACAATTAAATTTAAAGTGTCAGTTAGGTATAACAATCCATTAACAGTGTCAGTTAGGTATAACACTCCATTAACAGAGTAAGTTAGGTATAACAATCCACTTACAGGGTCAGTTAGGTATAACAATCCATTTACAGGGTCAGTTAGTAAGGTATACAATCAATTAACAGGGTCAGTTAGGTATAACAATCCATTAACAGGGTCAGTTAGGTATAACAATCCATAAAGAGGGTCATTTAGTTATAACAATCTATTAACAGGGTCAGTTAGATATAACAATACATTAACAGGGTCAGTTAGGTATAACATTCCATTACAGGGTCAGTTAGGTATAACTATTGGAATTGCTAAAGACCTAAGTTTAATCTTACATCTTGAAACAATAATATCGTGTCGATCGTATTAAGTCAGGGAGTTTTATAAATAACTACATAATAAGCCAAATGTTTTCATATTAAATGAACACATTATAGGAGCATTGAATAGTCCTACAGCTACTTAATAAGTCAAATTTTCAAAATAAAGGTACATATTAAATGAACATTGAATATTCCTATAGCTACCTATTAAGTCAAATTTTCATACTAAGTGTACACATTACATGAACATTAAAAAGTCTTATAGCTACCTAACAAATCAATTTTTCATACTTACTGAACATGTTAAATGCATACATTGAATTGTCCTATAGCTACCCGTTAAGTCAAATTTTCATTATAACTGTACATGAACATAACCAGAATGGATTCTATGAACCTAACACATGTTGAAACCAAACCGCTGGTCATACGGATATTTGAACCTTTCGTGTTCTGCTGCCACAGGAATTTTAAGCTTCCTCCACGGTGCTTACACTTTAGTGCAACAGGTAGACAAACCTGCCCCGTCTCACCTCTCACTCCACCACAGTAGCCCCGCCACATCACACCATCGACAGGCCAAGCGAAATAGATTTTCTACAACCACGGTTGTTGGGGATGTTTTGAAAAAAAAAAAAGAAAGATTCACTGTGCTAGTGGAGAGGAATCTTAAATTTAACAAAAAGCCTTTTTTTTGATTTAGTTGACATTTTAACGTAGAAGTGATCCTAAAGTTTAGCATTGTTAACATAGAAGTGATCCTAAAGTTTAGCATTGTTAACATAGAAGTGATCCTAAAGTTTAGCATTGTTAACATAGAAGTGATCCTAAAGTTTAGCATTGTTAACATAGAAGTGATCATAAAGTTTATGTATGTTAAAGCCCTTCGTTAGCTCAAATATTACAGTAGACTTGTGTCCACTGTTAATAACATATTGATAAACTGTTGTTTCATTGACATAGCTAAAAGTGCACCGAATAGAATTGATATGTAAAATATGTGGTATTGACTAACCTAAATATTGATAAGAATTTAGATGTGTAAAATTATTTGTTTTTACTCAAAACAATTTATATTCTAGTATTAACTGGAAAAAGAATCATAGCAGGATATTCTATGACAGCGGTTCTTGATCTGTGGGTCGCGACCCCTTTGGTGGTCGCACGACCCTTTCACAAGGGTCGCCTAAGACCATCTGAAAACACATAACTCCACAGTTATAAAGTATCAACGAAAATAATTTTGTGATTGGGGGTCGCCACAACATGAGTAACAGTATTAAAAGGGTCGCGGCATTAAAAAGGTTGAGAACCACTGCTCTATGACATGTATACCCGATGAAACTGACGTGGGACTCAGAAACATGCACATTTTGTAAGTTTTATTAAGTAAACTCTAGGAATGATCTTCTAGTTCAGGGATCGCCAACACCACCGGGATTAATTTTGCGAACCGGGGAGCTAGGTCAAATTAACATAGTTTTTAATTGTTTAAAATATGTTTGATTCCCAGTTATGTTTTAATTTCTTTGTTTTAAATACCTATTTCTTGTATTGTTTATGTAAAACCAGGCAAGTGTTTGACCATGATCTCTCCTAATGGGAAGCGTTTAACCATGATCTCTCCTAATGGGAAGCGTTTAACCATGATCTCTCCTAATGGGAAGCGTTTAACCATGATCTCTCCTAATGGGAAGCGTTTAACCATGATATCTCCTAATGGGAAGTGTTTTACCACGATCTCTCCAAATGGGAAGTGTTTTACCATGATCTCTCTTAATGGGAAGCGTTTGACTATGATCTCACCTTATGGGAAGCGTTTTACCATGATCTCTCCTAATGGGAAGCAACGACGTGGTTGAAGCTGTAGCACGCTTGCTTGTTTACTTTAATTAACAAACAAAAATTAGGTCTGTGGCCCGGCAGGAAATATCATTTAAAAATTTGGCCCGCATGCTGAAAAGGTTGAAAACCCTTGTACTACTAGTGAGCCAGAACCCTTGTACTACCAGTGAGCCAGAACCCTTGTACATCCAGTGAGCCAGAACCCTTGTACTACCTGTGAGCCAGAACCCTTGTACTACCAGTGAGCGAGAACCCTCGTACTACCAGTGAGCCAGAACCCTTGCACTTCCAGTGAGCCAGACTCAACTATTTTAAAGCTAGTATTGGCAAGCTGTGCAATTAGAGAAGCAATCACTCTGGGCTTTTTACTCTTCATGAGACCTGACTTGTTTCACTTTGAATTACGAGTGTTGTGTTGAAATAGATTAGGTGTTGGCATTTAGCAAGACAATGCCCCCACTCCCATCCTCCTCTCTTACCCACGCTTTCTCTTACCACAACCCTTCCCGGTTTGACCATTAGTTTAACATCACTGGTTGGTGTCAAATGTTAGCTAACGTTGCATATGTTTATGGTATCCAAATTATTTTAAGGGTTAACTTCGTGACCTATAGGAGTAGTTATCCCCCTTTCAGAGGAGTGACCTATAGGAGTAGTTGTCCTCATTCAGAGGCGTGACATATAGGAGAAGTTATCCCCATTCAGAGGTGTGACCTATAAGAATAGTTATCCCCATTCAGAGGGTTGACCAATAGGAGTAGTTATTCCCATTCAGAGGCGTGACCTATAGTAGTAGTTATCCCCATTCAGGGGCGTAGCAAAAGAGTTCAGAGCCCGGGAACAAGATTCATTTTAAAGCACACCTTTTTCTTTTCTTAACTCTCAAAAGTATTCTTTTCATCAATAAAATAATATCAAAGCACATTTTGGCGCCCCTAACTAGCTGGCGCGCGGGTAGTCTTGCCCCCACCCTTCGCTACGCCTCTGTCCCCAGAAGGCGTACCTATGGGGATTGAATGGGACCAGAGCCCCGTGTTCACTAAGGTTATTCAAAACTTATAACTTGATTTTCTTTAATTATAGATTGATTTTTTTTAGTTTTGTAACAATAAATATAGGGACTCTCCATTCTATATATCATGCATTTTTAGCAGTGGTTAATCCATTGCCAGTCTCCTTGTTTATGTGACTATAGATCAGTGGTTCTCAATCTTCTTACTGCCTTGACTCTTTAATACAGTTCCCCATGTTGTGGCGCCACCAAACCATAAAAAAATATTTTCGTTTCTAATTCATAAATTTTGTTTTCCGATGGTTTTAGGTGACCCCTGTATAATGTCGTTCGACCCCCCCCCCCCAAACAGGATGATAACCACTGTTCCAGATACTGTATTAATACAGTTCCCCATGTTGTGGCGCCACCAAACCATAAAAAAATATTTTCGTTTCTAATTCATAAATTTTGTTTTCCGATGGTTTTAGGTGACCCCTGTATAATGTCGTTCGACCCACCCCCCCCAAACAGGATGATAACCACTGTTCCAGATACTGTGGAAACGTACTTAACGGTGGAGGGGCAGGTAGGGGGCAAGGTAGTGGGGCTAGCTGTGGATTAACTTTGGGGTGCAGCATATATATTGTAATACATGTCTATTACATAAGGTTGTTGACATGGTACCGGGTTGTTAAAATCTAGAGACTGGTACATACTTTGTTACAATAGCTTTCAGAGAACATTGACATTGGCATGCGGGGCTCTGCCAGGTGACGAACTGCCCTGTCAACACAAACACATGTAGAGCTCCACTACATGCTAACCTGTCAATCAAATATTAGGGGGGGGGGGGGGTAGGGCCCCTATTGTGAAAAAATTTTTTAATTTTTTTTTCTAAATATTTGTTTTTTTTACGCTAACTATTCAATATAAAAAAAANAGGAAATTGTGCCACAGGTAGCATTCAGGTTAGTGACCAGGAAATTGTGCCACAGGTAGCATTCAGATTAGTGACCAGGAAATTGTGCCACAGGTAGCATTCAGGTTAGTGACCAGGAAATTGTGCCACAGGTAGCATTCAGATTAGTGACCAGGAAATTGTGCCACAGGTAGCATTCAGGTTAGTGACCAGGAAATTGTGCCACAGGTAGCATTCAGATTAGTGACCAGGAAATTGTGCCACAGGTAGCATTCAGGTTAGTGACCAGGAAATTGTGCCACAGGTAGCATTCAGGTTAAGAAATACTTAATCACTCCCCCCTTCAATTTAGAAAATGTCCAAATAAATTGAAGTATTCATCAAATTCAAACACCTTATTGCAACATGAGGATTGTAAAAGTTGTTATAATAAGAATTGCGCCCACTCTCTCACACACACACATACACGCACCCACCCAAGCACAAACACATACACAAACATGCATTTACCCACGCACGCACGGACACTCACTCACTCACACTCACACACACACACACAATATGTGTCTTTAATAAAATCGTTTTGTGTTGACAACTGGCGCACACACACATTTTTTGTTTTGTTTTTGGTCTAAAATTGAGAACCTGTCCCTGAGCATAAGATACGTCATCAGCTTGACATTAGTGTTATCAATAATTAAACAGAAAGGGCAGACAATTATTGGGATTACTTTAACTCTCCGGGCACATAATTATCTCCCTGTAAAGCGTTTTCATAAATATTTATCTGTTGCTTAAAAAACGTATTTCTCTCAATTCACGCTCGACTTTTTGTAGCAAAGCCCAAAAGATAATGTCAGTTTAAGTTAGTGTGACATCAAGATAAAGTTGCATCAACTCAATGTGACATTAAGTTTATGTGAAATAAAGTAAATGTGACATAAATTTAATGTGACATAAAGTTAAAGTTGCATCAACTCAATATGACATAAAGTTAATGTGACATCCAGATAATGTGACATCAAATTAACTTGACATCAAAATAATGTGACATCAAGATAATGTGACATTAAGATATTGTGACATCAAGTTAAAGTGACATCAAGATAATGTGACTCACGTTAATGGGACATCAAGTCAATGTGACATTAAGTCAATGTGACATCACGTTAATGTAACATCAAGTTAATGTGACATCAATATAATGTGATATCAAGATAATGTGAAATTAAGTTAATGTGACATCAAGCTAATGTGACATCAAGTTAATGTGACACAAAGATAATGTGACATCAAGTTTATGTGAATCTAGATAATGTGACAGCAAGATAATGTGACATCAATTTAATGTAACATCACGATAATGTGATATAAAGTTAATGTGACATCAAGTTAATGTGACATCACATAAACGTGACATCAAGTTAATGTGACATCAAGTTAATGTGACATCAAGTTAATGTCACATCAAGATAATGTCATTTCAATATAATGTCACATAAAGTTCATGTGACATCAAGTTAATGTGACATCACGATAATGTGACTTCAAGTTCATGTGACATCAAGTTAATGTAACATGAAGTTAATGTGACATCAAGTTAATGTGACATCAAGATAATTGGACATTAAGATAATGTGAATCAAGCTAATGTGATATCAAGTTAATGTGACATCAAGTTAATGTGACATCAAGTTAATTTGAGATCAAGTTAATGAGACTTCAAGATAATGTGACATTAAGTTAATGTGACATCAAGTTAAAGTTACATCAAGTTAATGTGATATATGTTAATGTGACTTCAAGTTAATGTGACAAGTAAATGTGACATAAAATTAATGTGACATCAAGTTAATGTGACATCACTTTAATGCGACATCACGTTAATGTGACATCAAGTTAATGTGACATCAATTTAATGTGACATCATGTTAATTTGACATCAAGATAATGTGACATACAGATTGTGTCACATCTAGTTAATGTGACATCAAGTTAATGTGACATCAAGTTAATGTGACATCAATTTAATGTGACATCAAGTTCATGCACCATCAAGTTCATGTGACATCAAGATAATGTGAAATCAAGTTAATGTGACATCAAGTTATGTCACACTACGTTTATGTTACTCAAGTTAATGTGACATCAAGTTAATACAACATCAAGTTAATGTGTCATCAAGATAATGTGTCATCAAGATTATGTGACATCAAGATAATGTGACATCAAGTTAATGTGACATCAAGTTAATGTGACATTAAGTTCATGTGACATCAAGTTAATGTAACATGAAGTTAATGTGAGTCAAGTTAATTTGACATCAAGTTAATGTAACAACAAGATAATGTGAAATCAATTTAATGTGACATAAAGTTAATGTGACATCAAGATTATGTGACATCAAGATAAATTGACATCAAATTAATGTGACATCAAGTTAATGTGACATCAAGATAATGTGACATCAAGGTAATGTGACGTCAAGTTCATGCGACATCAAGTTCATGTGACATCAAGATAATGTGACATCAAGTTAATGTTACATCAAGTTAATGTTACATCACGTTAATGTGACATCACGTTAATGTGACATCAAGTTAATGTGACATCAAGTTAATGTGACATCAACATAATGTGACATCAAGATAATGTGACATCAAGATTATGTGACATCAAGATAAATTGACATCAAGTTAATGTGACATCAAGTTAATGTGACATCACGTTAATGTGGCGTCAAGTTATTGTGACATCAAGTTAATTTGACATCAAGTTAATGTGACATCAAGTTAATGTGACATCAAGTTAATGAGTCTCTCAACATTCTCTCGACATTTTCTCAATATTCTCTCAATACTCTCTCAACATTATATCAACATTCTCTCAACATTCTCTCATTATTCTCTCATATCTTCTCTCAATAGTCTCTTAACATGCAAACTGTGATAACTTGTGCCAAACCTAAAAGCTACATTTCTCTTGATTCTTAGGTTATAAATGCTAAACAAAGGGTTACTTTAAGACCCACGGTGGCCATATTGGCAACTTCATTGGTACAAAATTTCAAAGAAACTTTACCGTCGACTACATAGTGTACTAAGTATATATGTACACCCCCACCCCCATTTAAACTTTTTTTTTTTGCTATCCTAAACACCACTTTGAGAAGCACTGATTTTAAATCGTCAAATCGCCCCCCTATGCCTGCGCTGGCTTAAATAGGTTGAAGGTCAAACTTGTTATGAAGGGCGTGCAATATGTCACGGTGTGATGCCACAGGAACATGAAACTGTTTTGTGTAACCAAGTGATAGCGAAGTTTTGTTTATAAAACACAGATTTATGTTCGTTGAGTACCTAGCCACGTTCACTTACATATAGAGAATAGACTTATGTGTGCCGAGTACCTAGCCAGGTTCACTAACATGTAGAGAATAGATTTATGCTTGCTGAGTACATAGCCAGGTTCACTAACATATAGAGAATAGATTTATGTTTGCAGAGTACCTAGCCAGGTTCACTAACATAATATAGAGAATAGATTTATGTTTGCAGAGTACCTAGCAAGGTTTACTAACATATAGAGAATAGATATATGTTGGCTGAGTACCTAGCCAGGTTCACTAACTTATAGAGGATAGATATATGCTTGTCGAGTACCTAGCCAGGTTCACTAACATCTAGGGAATAGATTTATGTTTGCTGTATCCAGCCAGGTTCACAAACATATAGAGAATATATTTATGTTTGTTGAGTACCTAGCCAGGTTCACTAACATGTAGAGAATAGGCTTATGTTGCTGAGTACCCAGCCAGGTTCACTATCATGTAGAGAAGATACTTATGTAGTCTGAGTACTTAGCCAGGTTCACTAACATGTAGAGAATAGACTGATGTTTGCTGGGTACCTAGGCAGGTTCACTAATATATAGAGAATAGACATATGTTTGCTGAGTTCCAAGCCAGTTTCAATAACATATAGAGAATAGACTTATGTTAGCTGGGTACCTAGCCAGGTTTACTAAAATGTTATAGAGAATTGACTGTCAAACTTTACTGGGATCACTAAGATATGTGACATATCTTACTGGGACTAAATGACATCGAGAACTATAACTTTAACTTCAGTAATGCTTGATGACACATAACAGGGATGGCTGTTATCAAAATGTGGCATTTAGCAAGTTCTTATTTTTTAGAGAAATGTAAAATATTACAATTTATTAATAGCTGAAAATTAAAGATTTATTTAAGCATATGATTGTGACACCTAAATTTGAAACTTGCAGCTCATAGAACGCGCTCAATAAATGCGCTTATAGCATGCGCTCTGTTTAAATGGACAGGAAGATAGAGAAAACCAGGTTTGCGCCAACAATTTTAAGTCCTGACCGGACCTGAACTCTTAGTTAAGTCCTGACCGGACCTGAACTCTTAGTTAAGTCCTGACCTGACCTGAACTGACCTGAACTCTTAGTTAAGTCCTGACCGGACCTGAACTGACCTGAACTCTTAGTTAAGTCCTGACCGGACTTGAACTCTTAGTTAAGAGTTAAGGCCTGACCTGACCTGAACTGACCTGAACTCTAAGTTAAGTCCTGACCGGACCTGAACTGACCTGAACTCTTAGTTAAGTCCTGACCGGACTTGAACTCTTAGTTAAGTCCTGACCGGACCTGAACTGACCTGAACTCTTAGTTAAGTCCTGACCGGACCTGAAGTCTTAGTTAAGTCCTGACCGGACCTGAACTGACCTGAACTCTTAGTTAAGTCCTGACCGGACCTGAACTCTTAGTTAAGTCCTGACCGGACCTGAACTCTTAGTTAAGTCCTGACCGGACCTGAAGTCTTAGTTAAGTCCTGACCGGTCCTGAACTCTTAGTTAAGTCCTGACCGGTCCTGAACTCTTATTTAAGTCCTGACCGGTCCTGAACTCTTAGTTAAGTCCTGACCGGTCCTGAACTCTTAGTTAAGTCCTGACCGGTCCTGAACTCTTAGAATTGATAGGAAAACCAAATTTTATTTTCCGTATTTTGAGACTTATGTTTGAAAGATTAAAGGAATACTAATTAAATCAGATATATTCCAACGATAGCTAAATTATGGACATGGCTCGGTATAACTAAATTTTATCTATAATTACTACATGTATGACTAATTTAAAGCTATGAATGTTACATATATGACTGATTTATTGCTATAAATTTTACATGTCTGACTAATTTCAATTGAATTTTATTTAACAATGTTTGTCTACATGTGGGCTGTAATATTTGTTCCAACATGGCCTATATTTTAACATTTGATTTACGCTTGTTAGTTTATATTTACGTCACATTCAGGGGCGGATCTAGAAACTGATGCGAGGGTGCTAAACCAAAAAAACAGCTAGGGGGACCTCTGAGGTATCTTAACTCAAAATAGGAGGTTTCAATTTTTTTTTTTTTTTCACTTTTTGTTGTTGCCTCGTTAGGTAGGGAGTGAAACCCAGAACCGAACCTTCAACATTCTGACCCCGCGCAGAGACAGCGGTGCCTTTCAAATACAAGGAATTACTACACGCACAGTACAGAATCTTACCATCTCAGCTCAGCTATTGTGCATTGACAAACTATCGATTGGTAGCTCCAGGTAACAGAGACGTGCACCAGATTTGACGAAGGTGACCACAGGACAAGACGACCGAGTGAGGCTCACACTGTAACGTGTCACTGTAATGTGACCAACAACGCCAAGCACCGGGCGAGGTTGGCAGGCGGATGAGATGGGCGGAAATCAATAGCCAGTGCCAAGTGTCAACTCCTGGGTGGAGTGAGAAAGAAGGGTTGTGGGGGGGGGGACGCTACTGATAGCTGTTTAGTAGAGATTCTCATCCCATTATATTCAAAACTGTTCTTGCGTATTCGGATTCCAAATTCAATTTGAAAGTAAGGTACTTATCATTGAAATGATTTGTTTCACGTTGTGTATTTAGATGGGTGACGACACCTAAATGAATCTACATTAATTTATACCGTGAGAGGACTAAGTCCCAGGTGAGGGGAGCAATTGATCATGGTTTGAGGAGCCAACAGGCGGAACACTCTACAGGTGGACCACTCTACAGGCGGACCACTCTACAGGTGGACCACTCTACAGGCGGACCACTCTACAGGTGGACCACTCTACAGGCGGGCCACTTTACAGGCAGACCACTCTACAGGTGGGCCACTCTACAGGTGGACCACTCTACAGGCGGGCCACTCTACAGGCGGACCACCCTACAGATAATTTTTAAAACATTTCATGCCGATGTTTCATTTCTGTTTTGGGTGAAGCAGGATCGGGGCCTTTTCTATACTTTCCCCACACCCTACCCGAATAATCCATCTATCCGTGGATTCCACAAAACGATTGCGTAATAAATCTTCCCTGCTGAATTTACCAGAAATAAAATTTAATTTGTGAATGTTTTGGCTGTCTCTAAATAAGGTTGAAAAGTCTTCACATGGGATCATGTTGTCTGACAAGTCTTACCATGGGATCATATTGTCAGACAAATCTTCCCATGGATCATGTTGTCTGACAAGTCTTCCCATGGGATCATGTTGTCTGACAAGTCTTCACATGGGAGCATGTTGTCTGGCAAGTCTTTCCATGGGATCATGTTGTCTGACAAGTCTTTCCCATGCTATTATGTTTTCTATTCCAGGAACAGCCTTAGCCTTTTCAAAGACTCATTGATACAAATATTGCGACATAATTTAGCTGCTTGACTCGGAGGATTTTTTTTTTTTTTTGGGGTGGGGGGGGGGGTAATGTCTACACATCTATTTCGGCCTTAACAAAAATCAATTGGTCTTATTTGGGGTTCTGAATCTACGGCCTGCGGGCAAGATCCGGCTTACCAGGTAACTTTAATTCTCCCCAATCAGCAATGAAGACTATAGAACAAGGCATCATCTATCTTTTTAAGCAAAATGCCAGGCACATACTTCCCACTATAATACGAATTACAGAGTGCGTTGTATGATAAGAAATCATTCATAATAGAGTGCGTTGTATGATAAGTCCTCGTTTTATAGCCATTTTCATTGTTTCTATAGAATAGTAGTTACTATCCTAGTGTCTCATTTGTATTTACTTAGTTTACATGTTTTAATAATTGTAAAGCGCTTAGANAAAAAACCCCCCCCCCCCCCCCCCCCCGCAATTGTCTAAGAGACACTAAAGAAATAGTTTGATGACCCTAGTCTATAATGTATATTAGGAATGTATTATGTAGGAATGTAATAATTGTATTATGAAAATGGTAACAGTTGCGTCATTATTTTTTTGTTTTAATTTAAGAGAAATTTAATCGAATTTCAAGTCTCCTATTCTCCTGTGAAGGACCGAAACTCTTCAAACTTTAACTTTATCAAAAGCGGAAGTGGGCGAGAACGGAAAAATAAAATTACTCTCAAAACTCAATGTAATGTGAAACACTGGACGAAATGAGATATTATTCTGTTGTTGTGCTTCCGGATATGCGATGGCTCGAACAATGGTACAGTCACAGAAAAAAAGTATGCGTGATTTATATGTTGTAAACAGGAAAGCATTGTGGGTGACACAAATGACAGTCGGGGCACGAATGACAGCAGGGTCACGAATGACATTGGGGACACGAATGGCAGGAGGGGGGGGGGGCACGAATGGCAGAGCGGGCACGAATGACAGTGGGGTCACGAATGACATTGGGGACACGAATGGCAGGAGGGGGGGGGGCACGAATGGCAGAGCGGGCACGAATGACAGTGGGGAAAAAGTAATAAACAAAAGGAAGTAAAGAAACTAGAATGCACCAAACACACTTGCTATATAATAAAATCCTTTATATTAACCTCGCTGCTGTCCGTGGGTGGCCCGCTGGGTGGCGTACTGTCTAAATCTTTGGATGGCTAATTGACCCACTTTCCGTAAAACTATCAAACTGAAACTTCGCACATAGACTCCTTGCCGATGACAGCACACTCTTTCAAATTTTCAGCCCCATCCCGTGGATCAGTTTGAACATCAATGACCGTAGAAAACCAATGTCATGGTGGTAACGTTTGACATGATAGTACCAGGAACACGGGGACTGAATAACACTAGTGACATGAGGGGAAAAGTTACATGGATGACATAGTGACAGGGTGCAGGACGACAACAGCTAAATGTGGACAAAGACACAAGGGACATAGTGACAGGAAGACAATAGTGAAATATAGACATAGCGAAGGGGTTGACAACAGCGAAACATGGACATAGGGAAAGGGTGACACCAGTGAAATATGGACATAGTGAAGAGGTAACACCAGCGAAATATGGCCATAGTGAAGGGGTGACACAGTGAAATATGGACATAGTGAAGGGGTGACACAGTGAAATATGGACATAGTGAAGGGGTGACACAGTGAAATATGGACATAGTGAAGGGGTGACAAAGTGAAATATGGACATAGTCAAGGGGTGACACGGTGAAATATGGACATAGTGAAGGGTTGACACCAGAGTAATGGGACACAATGACAACACTATGACACCATTAACATGAATCAGTGACAGAAGGCATCTAGTCATAAATGGAAAGCCATTGAAGAATAACGGTTAATTGTGGGACACCACTGTCAATGGACAGGCAATGACAGGCAATGACAGGCAAACCTGTTATTATACTTGACATTCTAATCCTGTATCTCCCAACTGCACATTCACAACTGCACACTCCGCACCTACAAGTCCACACTCCAAACTGCACACTCCAATTTACTCACTCCCAACTGCACACTCCAATTTACTCACTCCCAACTGCACACTTCCCACTCCACAGACCCAATCCACACTCCCAACTCCACACTTTGAACTCCATGCACCAACAGTTTTAGAAACTTTGAACCTTTATACAAAAGTCCTACAGACAGTCTTGCAGACAGTCCTACAGACAGTCCTGCAGACAGTCCTACAGACAGTCCTGCAGACAGTCCTACAGACAGTCCTACAGACAGTCCTACAGACAGACCTACAGACAGTCCTACAGACAGTCCTACAGACAGTCCTACAGACAGTCCTACAGACAGTCCTACAGACAGTCCTACAGACAGACCTACAGACAGTCCTACAGACAGTCCTACAGACAGTCCTACAGACAGTCCTACAGACAGTCCTACAGACAGTCCTACAGACAGTCGTGGAGAGAGTCCTACGCCATACCCATGGCTTTTTACTGATTAATATAATAGTGGCCTCGCAATGAACCAAACCATTTGACTTGAGTTTAACCATCAAACATGACACTCACTGGTTGACAGCTGTTACTTCCACTCTGTACAATTAATATCAAATATGTTGAGTATGCGAGAGAAGGTATTGAGAAGGAAGAAGGAAACAACATTAGTAATATGTCTTTATATATATATATATATTTATATATATATATATATATATATATATATATATATATATATATATATATATATATATATATATATATATAAGAGATCATATTGTTCAGTATGTCTAATATTAATTTTGTATTGTTAGCAAACAATTAAGGAGATTTGAGTGATAAGAAAATGTATATATTTCCTATCTAACTTGCATGCAAGCAATTCTATTTGACAGCTTTCACACATCACACAACTCACATGACACAACTCACATCATACGCCACATTACACACATGACATATAACACACAACAATCATGACACAGCACACATGACACACTGCACAAAAAGCACAACACACATGACACAGCACACGAATCACATGACACAACCTACATCGAACACCACAAATCACACAGCACATGCCACACATCACACATGCCACATCATATATATGTATGAATTCAAATTAGTAGACTTCCGTAACAAAAGACAATTGCGAAAGAAAAGAGGAAAGGGGGGGGGTACTCAAAGAAAGAAAAAAATGTCTATCATGAGTAGAATATAAAATGACACCTGTATGACGTAAACAGAAGTTCTTACCTGGCCTTAATAATCCTATGTTAGACCAACAAGATAACTTAACAATCAGGCTTTAGCTATGGCGGACACTGCAACAGCCTTGACCCCGTCAATTTGAGCCCTATCAATAAAACAAAGTAAAGGTAACGATTAAAAACAATGTAGAGAGGAGTTATCTCCAGACAAGGGATACACAAGTATAAATATGTTTTCTAGGGGACATGTTTTCTAGGGACATGTATTCTAGGGACATATTTTCTAGGGACATGTTTTCTAGGGACATGTTTTCTAGGGACATATTTTCTAGGGACATGTTTTCTAGGGACATGTTTTCTAGGGACATGTTTGATACAACACCATTGCGTCAATAAAATGTAATTGAGAATCACGTTTTTCACGGCCTCTACTTTTTGTGGAAGAAACATTTGCAAGCGTAATAGCACTCGATAAAGTTGTAGCATCACGTGGTACAGTTGTAATGTCACGTGGTAGATTTGTAATGTCACATGGTAGTGTTGCCATATCACGTTCTTGGGTTGATCGACAGTTCAAATTTCCCTTGTGTGTTCCCCATTTTGAACATTCAGAATTGACTCGACGTATGACGTCATGACATGTGTGAGACATAATCTTTTTTTAGAACACTCCAGTGGCGTCATCAGCCAATGTCACATTGGCATATACAAGTATTACTCCAGTGGCCTACTCAGCCAATGTCACATTTGTATATACAAGCATTACTCAAGTGTCCTACTCAGCCAATGTCACATTGGCATTTACAAGTATTGTATTTCTTTAACAAATCAGAAACAGGATGTGCATATAAAAAGAGATGTGATAGTTACATTTTTTATATCAATAATTAACATGCAATCAATTCATATTACGAGACTGGCAACCTAACACATCTAATCTCTTAACAACTGGTACAGCTCTTACCGGAACATGTTGCTGTTGGATCTTAACATAACAAACTAGATGTTACAGCATTTAGTGGGCACCATAAACAAACCATCTAGACATTACAGCATTTATTGGGCGGTATAAACAAACCAACTAGACATAACAACATTTATTGGGCACCATAAAAAAATCAACTAGACATTACACCAGTCATGGGGCACCATAAACAAACCAACTAGACATTACAGCATTTAGTGGGCGGTATAAACAAACCAACTAGACATAACAACATTTATTGGGCACCATAAAAAAATCAACTAGACATTACACCAGTCATTGGGGCACCATAAACAAACCAACTAGACATTACAGCATTTAGTGGGCGGTATAAACAAACCAACTAGACATAACAACATTTATTGGGCACCATAAAAAAATCAACTAGACATTACAGCACTCATGGGGCACCATGAACTTACTAAATAGACATTACAGCCTTCATTGGGCTCCATAAACAAAACCAATTAGACATTACATCATTTATTGGGCTCCATAAAAAAAAACAACTAGACATTACACCAGTCATGGGTCACCATAAAGAAACCAACTAGACCTTACAGCTTTTAGTGGGCGGTATAAACAAACCAACTAGACATTAAAACACTCAGGGAACCATAAACAAACCAACTAATCATTACAGCAGTCTGGGGCACATCAAAAAATTAACTAATCATTAGAGCAGCCAGTGGGCACCATCAACAAATCAACTAATCTTAAGAGCAGCCAGTGGGCACCAATCAACAAATCAACTAATCATTAGAGCAGTCAGGGGCACCATCAACAAATCAACTAATCATTAGAGCTGTCAGGGGCACCATCAACAAATCAACTAATCATTAGAGCAGTCAGTGGGCACCATCAACAATTAAACTAATCATTAGAGCTGCCAGGGGCACCATCAACAAATCAACTAATCATTAGAGCAGTCAGGGGCACCATCAACAAATCAACTAATCATTAGAGCAGTCAGGGGCACCATCAACAAATCAACTAATCATTAGAGCAGTCAGGGGCACCATCAACAAATCAACTAATCATTAGAGCAGTCAGGGGCACCATCAACAAATCAACTAATCATTAGAGCAGCCAGTGGGCACCATCAACAAATCAACTAATCATTAGAGCTGTCAGGGGCACCATCAACAAATCAACTAATCATTAGAGCAGTCAGGGGCACCATCAACAAATCAACTAATCATTAGAGCAGTCAGGGGCACCATCAACAAATCAACTAATCATTAGAGCAGTCAGGGGCACCATCAACAAATCAACTAATCATTAGAGCTGTCAGGGGCACCATCAACAAATCAACTAATCATTAGAGCCGTCAGCGGCACCATCAACAAATCAACTAATCATTAGAGCAGTCAGGGACACCATCAACAAATCAACTAATCATTAGAGCTGTCAGGGGCACCATCAACAAATCAACTAATCATTAGAGCTGTCAGGGGCACCATCAACAAATCAACTAATCATTAGAGCAGTCAGGGGCACCATCAACAAATCAACTAATTATTAGAGCTGTCAGGGGCACCATCAACAAATCAACTAATCATTACAGCAGTCAGGGGCACCATCAACAAATCAACTAATCATTAGAGCAGCCAGTGGGCACCATCAACAAATCAACAAGAAAATACGGAAACCCTCCGACATTTAATAAAGCAATTTAAACAAATAAACGACTTTGATCAAAACCATTCCTCAAACAATCATATTTTCAGCCATGTAGTTATTGTAAACCTGACGATCAATGACATTATAAAGACTTGGCCATCAATCACATTATAAAGACCTGGCGATCAATGACATTGTAAAGACCTGGCCATCAATGACATTGTAAAGACCTGGCCACCAATGACATTGTAAAGACCTGGCCACCAATGACATTGTAAAGACCTGACGATCAATGACATTGTAAAGACCTGGCCATCAATCATATTGTAAAGACCAGGCCATCAGTCACATTGTAAAGACCTGGCAATCAATCACATTGTAAAGACCTGGCGATCAATCACATTGTAAAGACCTGGCGATCAATCACATTGTAAAGACCTGGCCACCAATCACATTGTAAAGACCTGGCCACCAATCACATTGTAAAGACCTGGCCATCAATGACATTGTAAAGACCTGGCGATCAATCACATTGTAAAGACCTGGCCACCAATCACATTGTAAAGACCTGGCGATCAATCACATTGTAAAGACCTGGCCACCAATCACATTGTAAAGACCTGGCGATCAATCACATTGTAAAGACCTGGCGATCAATCACATTGTAAAGACCTGGCGATCAATCACATTGTAAAGACCTGGCCACCAATCACATTGTAAAGACCTGGCGATCAATCACATTGTAAAGACCTGGCGATCAATCACATTGTAAAGACCTGGCGATCAATCACATTGTAAAGACCTGGCGATCAATCACATTGTAAAGACCTGGCGATCAATCACATTGTAAAGACCTGGCGATCAATCACATTGTAAAGACCTGGCGATCAATCACATTGTAAAGACCTGGCGATCAATCACATTGTAAAGACCTGGCGATCAATCACATTGTAAAGACCTGGCCACCAATCACATTGTAAAGACCTGGCGATCAATCACATTGTAAAGACCTGGCGATCAATCACATTGTAAAGACCTGGCGATCAATCACATTGTAAAGACCTGGCGATCAATCACATTGTAAAGACCTGGCGATCAATCACATTGTAAAGACCTGGCGATCAATCACATTGTAAAGACCTGGCGATCAATCACATTGTAAAGACCTGGCGATCAATCACATTGTAAAGACCTGGCGATCAATCACATTGTAAAGACCTGGCGATCAATCACATTGTAAAGACCTGGCGATCAATCACATTGTAAAGACCTGGCGATCAATCACATTGTAAAGACCTGGCGATCAATCACATTGTAAAGACCTGGCGATCAATCACATTGTAAAGACCTGGCGATCAATCACATTGTAAAGACCTGGCGATCAATCACATTGTAAAGACCTGGCCACCAATCACATTGTAAAGACCTGGCGATCAATCACATTGTAAAGACCTGGCCATCAATCACATTGTAAAGACCTGGCGATCAATCACATTGTAAAGACCTGGCCATCTATTACATTGTAAAGACCTGGCCATCAATGACAGTAAATACCTGGCGATCAATGAGATTGTAAAGACCTGGTCATCAATCACATTGTAAAGACCTGGGCCATCAATGACATTGTAAAGACCTGGCCACCAATGACATTGTAAAGACCTGGTCATCAATCACATTGTAAAGACCTGGGCCATCAATGACATTGTAAAGACCTGGCCATCAATCACATTGTAAAGACCTGGCCATCAATCACATTGTAGAGAACTGGCGAAAATATCACATTTTTACCGACCTGCAAAAAGATTATATTGTATGGACCTGAATAAAAGAAGACATTTTATAGACAATGTCTGGGCAATAGTTGGAATAATCTTTGGGACATATGCGGAGCAATTTCTGGGCTAGAGGTGGAATAATGCCTTCGGAACAGACATCACAATGTCTAGGCAACAGGCAGCGCAATGTCCTGGCAACAGCCGGCACAATGTCTGGGCAACAGCCGGCACAATGTCTTGGCAACAGCCGGCACAATGTCTGGGCAACATATGGCATATTATCTCCTATGCTCAACAGCTGGCACAGTGTCTCGGCAACATATGGCATACTATCTCCCATGCTCAACAGCCGGCACAATGTCTCGGCAACATATGGCATACTATAGCCCATGCTCAACAGCCGGCACAATGTCTAGGCAACAGCCGGCACAATGTCTTTGCAACAGCCGGCACAATGTATTGGCAACAGCCGGCACACTGTCTAGGAAAGACACGGCAAAAATTTCTGGGCAACAGCAGGCACAATAACTGGCTATATCATAAATCATTATTGCTAAAACTAAAATAAGGGGCGGCTGTTCAAGGCTTCGCCCCGTGCGCCCCTTTTCTTTCAAGCGAAATGGCGCACAGGAACACTCGTAAATAAATTCACCTCCCCACTGCTTGATTAGAGACATAAATTAAATAGCTCGAACAATGGGGCCGTCGGCGTAATGGCTTGCGCCATGCCATTTGTTAAATTATTTCGATGGTTCTCAACCCTCGTCATATTTTCTACGGTGCCCTATTCTATTTCTTCCCCCATGTGTGGTATAACCAATAGCTATAATTGGGCCGGGTGGGTTTGTGTAGTGTACTTGGTTGTCACAAGACTTGTGCTTATCTCGACTATCTTTGTACCCTCTACGATTTTGTAGGACTGCTGGGTACTCCAGTTTTATTTCAATTTAGTTTTAGTAGTTTAGGTGAAGAATATTTTGTCAACTTCTGTAATTACGGAGTTATTTAACTTCTTTATTTGTTAACTCTGTAATTCAATGTTAGTCAGGACATGGTCAGCCTGAACTATTTGTTTCTTTTCAGATATTGTCCTTTTTTCTCTGGATTTTTCTTCCGAAATTTTATTTAGAATTTCTCTCTTTCTTTGGATTTGTTCAGAACCAAAAAAAAGCTATAGTCCTCAAGACTTGGTTTGTTTACAGAACCTAATAAAGCTATAGTCCTCAAGACTTGGTTTGTTTACAGAACCAAATAAAGCTATAGTCCTCAAGACTTGATTTGTTTACAGAACCTAATAAAGCTATAGTCCTCAAGACTTGATTTGTTTACAGAATCAAATAAAGCTATAGTCCTCAAGACTTGATTTGTTTACAGAAACAAATAAAGCTATAGTCCTCAAGACTTGGTTTGTTTACAGAACCTAATAAAGCTATAGTCCTCAAGACTTGGTTTGTTTACAGAAACAAATAAAGCTATAGTCCTCAAGACTTGATTTGTTTACAGAACCTAATAAAGCTATAGTCCTCAAGACTTGGTTTGTTTACAGAATCAAATAAAGCTATAGTCCTCAAGACTTGATTTGTTTACAGAACCTAATAAAGCTATAGTCGCCCCACCCCACCCCCAGTGGCCACACTGCTACATAAATTAGTAAGAAAATATTGCCTTTCATGCCCATCGGGATAAAGTTATTTTCCTCCTGTCGCGTCTACTTGGCCCCATCCTAAACGCAAAAGGAAGACCCAGGTGATTACATGTGAAGTAATGATGAGACCCAGGTGATTACATGTGAAGGAATGATGAGACCCAGGAGTTCATATGTGAAGTAATAGTGAGACCCAGGTGATTATATGTGATGAAATAAAGTGATACAGATAATTAAATGACATATAATGGCCTAACCCAGGGGATTATATGGGTTGCCATGAGGAGACCAAGGTGATTATATGTGATGTAATGAAGAGACACAGACGATTGTATGTCATGTAATGACCTAACCCAGTGGATTATATGTTATGTAAGAACGAGTTGGAAAAAAAATAGGGTTGGGGTGCAGAGGCAGGTAAGATAATCTTAAAGGAGGAAGAAAACGTCAGGGGAACTCCTGAGGAAACACATAGCGAAATAACGGACGTGTCGGCATAATGTCTTCGTCGCCGAACAAAATCAAGAGAGTAAAAACTGAAAGTCAAAAAACAACGTAAGTGATGCTTTGGAGAGTTCGAGAACAATCTGTGAATCTACTTGGACCACTTCATTACCTCATCTATTAGGACCACTTCATTACCTCATCTACTTGGACCGCTTCATTACCTCATCTATTAGGACCACTTCATTACCTCATCTATTAGGACCACTTCATTACCTCATCTATTAGGACCACTTCATTACCTCATCTACTTGGACCACTTCATTACCTCATCTATTAGGACCACTTCATTACCTAATCTATTAGGACCACTTCATTACCTCATCTATTAGGACCACTTCATTACCTCATCTATTAGGACCACTTCATTACAACATCTATTAGGACCACTTCATTACCTCATCTATTAGGACCACTTCATTACCTCATCTATTAGGACCACTTCATTACCTCATCTATTAGGACCATTTCATTACCTCATCTATTAGGACCATTTCATTACCTCATCTATTAGGACCACTTCATTACCTCATCTATTAGGACCACTTCATTACCTCATCTATTAGGACCACTTCATTACCTCATCTATTCGGACCACGTCATTACCTCATTTATTAGGAACACTTCATTACCTCATCTATTAGGACCACTTCATTACCTCATCTATTAGGACCACTTCATTACCTCATATATTAGGACCACTTCATTACCTCATCTATTAGGACCACTTCATTACCTCATCTATTAGGACCACTTCATTACCTCATCTGTTAGGACCACTTCATTACCTCATCTATTAGGACCACTTCATTACCTCATCTATTAGGACCACTTCATTACCTCATCTATTAGGACCACTTCATTACCTCATCTATTAGGACCACTCCATTACCTCATCTATTAGGACCACTTCATTACCTCATCTATTAGGACCACTTCATTACCTCATCTATTAGGACCACTTCATTACCTCATCTATTAGGACCACTTCATTACCTCATCTACTTGGACCACTTCATTACCTCATCTATTAGGACCACTTCATTACCTCATCTATTAGGACCACTTCATTACCTCATCTATTAGGACCACTTCATTACCTCATCTATTAGGACCACTTCATTACCTCATCTATTCGGACCACTTCATTACCTCATCTATTCGGACCACTTCATTCCCTCATCTATTAGGACCACTTCATTACCTCATCTATTAGGACCACTTCATTACCTCATCTATTAGGACCACTTCATTACCTAATCTATTAGGACCACTTCATTACCTCATCTTTTAGGACCACTTCATTACCTCATCTATTAGGACCACTTCATTACCTCATCTATTAGGACCACTTCATTACCTCATCTATTCGGACCACGTCATTACCTCATCTATTAGGACCACTTCATTACCTCATCTATTAGGACTACTTCATTACCTCATCTATTAGGACCACTTCATTACATCATATATTAGGACCACTTCATTACCTCATCTATTAGGACCACTTCATTACCTCATCTATTAGGACCACTTCATTACCTCATCTGTTAGGACCAATTCATTACCTCATCTGTTAGGACCACTTCATTACCTCATCTATTAGGACCACTTCATTACCTCATCTATTAGGACCACTTCATTACCTCATCTATTAGTACCACTTCATTACCTCATCTATTAGGACCACTTCATTACCTCATCTATTAGGACCACTCCATTACCTCACTTATTAGGACCACTTCATTACCTCATCTATTAGGACCACTTCATTACCTCATCTACTTGGACCACTTCATTACCTCATCTATTAGGACCACTTCATTACCTCATCTATTAGGACCACTTCATTACCTCATCTACTTGGACCACTTCATTACCTCATCTATTAGGACCACTTCATTACCTCATCTATTAGGACCACTTCATTACCTCATCTATTAGGACCACTTCATTACCTCATCTATTAGGACCACTTCATTACCTCATCTATTAGGACCACTTCATTACCTCATCTATTAGGACCACTTCATTACCTCATCTATTAAGACCACTTCATTACCTCATCTATTAGGACTACGTCATTACCTCATCTATTAGGACCACTTCATTACCTCATCTATTAGGACCACTTCATTACCTCATCTATTAGGACCACTTCATTACCTCATCTATTCGGACTTGTCATTACCTCATCTATTTGAACCACTTTATCAACAACTCTATTTGGACCACATCATTACCTCATCTATTTGGACTACTTCATTACCTCTTTTATTTGGACCACTTCATCACGACATCTATTTGGACATCATAATCGGGCTCATAGTCTTTAAAATGATCTACAAGTATAACAAGATTCCTCACTACTGTTTGTCCATTGTACCACGTTGAATGACTACATTGACACACAAATTGACACACACAGTGACACACATATTGACACACACATTTACACACACATTGACACAAATATTGACATACACATTGACACACACACTGACACACATATTGACAAACACATTTTCAAATGAGCTTTCGGACCATATCCATTTTTTGAGTATTCCTAAATGCTACGTCTCACCCACCTGACAATCCCCGTGTGGATGAATGCACCGCCTGATAGCATTCTCTGCCTGAGATGATAAGCCTGGCAGAAGTTACAGGTCACGAACACACGTGATTGGCGAGTAAACATTCATCTGTAAATGAGGTCACAGCATTTGGGGGGCGAGGAACGGGATGCTGACAGGCATGGAACAGACCTGGTAACGATGTGGGAACATATACCAGACCTGATAAGGTCATGGGAACTGAGAGCAGAGCTGGACAACTAGGTTATGTTTTATTTGGTCACCCGGTAGATTGGTGGTCAATTGAACAAGATAAAAGCTAAAGGAAGTTAACACGTAAACAATATTATAATTCTGATAATCTATTAATACATTTGATTAAGTTATAATACCAAGTACCCGGAATTAAACCACGGGCTTAAAGAAAGAAAGATAATAATTGATTGGCAACATCCTTCTCATACTTCTCATTTTCATTTTTGTCTTGTTTGCTGAAGAAGGCTTAACCCCCGAAACGTCCGAATCTTATTGTTCAGTCTGTTAATATAAGTTTGACATACATTGTTCTTATATTTCTTGTAAAATAATGTTTTTAATACACCAACTAAAAGAAACCAGCTCTTAAAAATTATTGTGTTCGTAGCAAAAAACAATAATTGGATTTCTCTAAACGAACCCAGAGAATTTAGATACTTTCATCATAACCCTGTGAAATATGAGTTGGGTATGCTCGTGACAGTTATTGACAGGCATGCTAAAGGCAGTGGATGTCCAAATCTGTGTTCTAGTATTATATAGAATGCTAAATCTAGTGGAAGTCCAAGGTATACAAAGAATGCTACAGGGATTGGGTGCTCAAGGCAATGTTGTAATAGTATATAGAGAGCTAAATGTAGTGGATTTTCAAGGCAGTATTGTACTATTATATAGAATGCTACAGCTAGTGAATTTGAAGGCAGCGTTGTAATATTACATAGAGAGCAATATCTACTGCATGAAAGAAACAAGCACATAGTCAAATCCTTGAGACGGACGGATGCCAAAGCAGTGATCAGCAACACGCGGTTCGGTTACCTTGCGGCTCTTGAAATAGATCTATGAGGCTTTGTGACTTTATAATGACATTGTTTGAGTGGCTATTTATATAGCGCTGGTATCCATGCTACTTTAATATGCTCACTGCGCTCTGGTTTTCTCAAATCTATTTAAACAATGAAGTCTTTAAATATTTCTTAAATGATTTTTTTATCATTTTCAATTCCCCTCAAAAATTGAGGCAAAATTGTCCATAATTTTGGCGCTCTCGCTTCAAAAGAGGGCATTCCGTAAGACTTTTTTGTGTTCATCCACACTGGGAACCCTCAGTAAGGACTGTGTAGAAGACCGCAGGTTCTTGAAGGATACATTTTTATAAATCAGTTCTTTAAGATATGCCGGTACAGAGCCTTCTATGCAGCTGTACGCCAGGGAAAGGATTTTGTAGTTAATGCGCTCACTCACATGAACCAAATGGAGATTTCTAAGAACTGGGGTGATGTGGTCAGGTTTCTTTATCCGCGATACAATTCGTGCTGCAGTATTTTGTACCTTCTGGAGTCTCCGAATTTGGTTCTGAGGTAAACCCCACAAACAACTTTTACATGCCGCTCCATAAATAATTTCACCCAAACAGCTTGGTCATTAAAGTTTTCATCCCTTTGGTCAGTGAAGTGTTCTTAACTGATCTTCATAAGTCATATTTATTTATAGGCCTACTATTTCTATGAGCCAGCCAATTACAAATTTAAGCACATAGTTACAGTTTCAGCTTCGTTGAACACCCCCCCCCCCTCTCCGCCCACTACATTTCTATCAGACTTACGACATTTGTATATCCTGAAATTTAAGCACAAAGTTTCAGTTTCAGCTTCGTTGAACCCCCCCCCCCCCCCTCTCCGCCCACTACATTTCTATCAGACTTACGACATTTGTATATCCTGTTCTGATATCACTTTTGAATGACCTGGTCGCCCCCGCTCATCATGTTATCGCTAAAATTCCCCGGTGCATTCACCCCCAGTTTTAGCGTAGGTCGGCAATTAAAATGAATAATAGATCGGAACTATTTCGTAGCGTAAGGTCATGGCGATTATACCGAGTGCGCAAGAAGGACTGTGCAAGAATAATGTTTTAACACCCACACAACAAACAAGTCTTTGTTGCTGGCAAGGGCAGTGAATCCGTACCTGAAAGGACGACCTTTAAGCTAAAAAAACTGCTTTAGAAAAATGTAAGAGGAATGTTCACCCATAGAAGGGAGCGATGGTTTCAATTGGCCAGGGGTGGTCTAGTTTTTTTTTATATGGCATTTGGTGGGCGTTTGAAATATTCTTTCGAAGGAAAGAGTTTATTTAAAAATGTTATAGATTTGGGGCATCAAATGAAATAGTTTATTCAAAATGTTCAATTTTTTTATGGACCAAATGAAACAGTTTAATCAAAATGTTAAATATTTCCAGACTCATAAAATAGCCTCCAATCACCAAATATATCAATTGTGTACAAATAAATCAACTCTATAAACATGTATCAGCTCTATACAAATGTAGATCTCATTAAAACGTGACAATTAAAAAAATAAATCAAATGGATGTTGAAAATTGGGTAAAAACATGGCTTCCTAACCCTTGGGATACGAGTCTTGGGTTGCGAGTCGGCCTCTCAATGAAAAGAGAGTATAATTAGTATAATTATTTACTTTTTTGGCCAACTTTTAAAATGCAATTATACATTTGTTTCACTGGTGCTCAAACGATTCGCGGAATGGAAGAATATAGTGGAGACTGGTGGGAACCCTGACAGAATATAGTAGAGACTGGCGGAACCCTGGCAGAATACTGTAGAGACTGGCGGAACCCTGGCCATAATATAGTAGAGACTGGCTGAACCCTGGCCAGAATATAGTAGAGACTGCTGGGCGGAACCCTGGCCAGAATATAGAAGAGACTGGCGGAACTCTGGCCAGAATACAGTAGAGACTGGCGGAACCCTGGCCAGAATATAGTAGCGACTGGCGGAACCATACGCCAGAATATAGTAGAGACTGGCGGAACCCTGACAGAATATAGTAGAGACTAGCGAAAACCTGGGCAGAATATAGAAGAGACTGGCGGAACTCTGGCCAGAATACAGTAGAGACTGGCGGAACCCTGGCCAGAATATAGTAGAGACTGGCGGAACCATACGCCAGAATATAGTAGAGACTGGCGGAACCCTGACAGAATATAGTAGAGACTAGCGGAACCCTTTCAGAATACAGTAGTGACTGGCGGAACCCTGGCAGAATACAGCAGAGACTGGTGGTCCCTGGCAGAATATTGTAGAGACTGGTGGAACCCTGGCAAAATACAGTAGAGACTGATGGAACCCTGGCAGAATAAAGTAGAGACTGGTGTAACCCTGGCCAGAAGACAATAGAGACTGGTGGAACCCTGGCAGAATACAGTAGAGACTGATGGAACCCTGGCAGAATACAGTAGAGACTGGTGGAACCCTGGCCAGAATATAGTAGAGACTGGCGGAACCCTGACAGAATATAGTAGAGACTAGCGGAACACTTTCAGAATACAGTAGTGACTGGCGGAACCCTGGCAGAATACAGCAGAGACTGGTCGACCCTGGCAGAATATTGTAGAGACTGGTGGAACCCTTGAAAAATACAGTAGAGACTGGTGGAACCCTGGCCAGAAGACAATAGAGACTGGTGGAACCCTGGCAGAATACAGTAGAGACTGATGGAACCATGGCAGAATACAGTAGAGACTGGTGGAACCCTGGCCAGAAGACAATAGAGACTGGTGGAACCCTGACCAGAAGACAATAGAGACTGATGGAACCCTGGCAGAATACAGTAGAGACTGGTGGAACCCTGGCCAGAAGACAATAGAGACTGATGGAACCCTGGCCAGAAGACAATAGAGACTCATGGAACCCTGGCAGAATACAGTAGAGACTGGTGGAACCCTGGCCAGAAGACAATAGAGACTGGTGGAACCCTGGCCAGAAGACAATAGAGACTGATGGAACCCTGGCCAGAAGACAATAGAGACTGATGGAACGCTGGCAGAATACAGTAGAAGCTGGTGGAACCCTGGCAGAATACAGTAGAGACTGATGGAACCCTGGCCAGAAGACAATAGAGACTGGTGGAACCCTGGCAGAATACAGTAGAGACTGATGGAACCCTGACCAGAAGACAATAGAGACTGATGGAACCCTGGCAGAATACAGTACAGACTGGTGGAACCCAGGCACAATACAGTAGAGACTGGTGTAACCCTGGCCAGAAGACAATAGAGACTGGTGGAACCCTGGCAGAATACAGTGGAGACTGATGGAACCCTGGCCAGAAGACAATAGAGACTGATGGAACCCTGGCAGAATACAGTACAGACTGGTGGAACCCTGGCACAATACAGTAGAGACTGGTGGAACCCTGGTAGAATACAGTAGAGACTGGTGGAACCCTGGCAGAATACAGTACAGACTGGTGGAACCCTGGCACAATACAGTAGAGACTGGTGGAACCCTGGCAGAATACAGTAGAGACTGGTGGGAACCCTGACAGAATACAGTAGAGACTGGTGGGAACCCTGACAGATTATAGTAGAGACTGGCAGAACCCTGACAGATTATAGTAGAGACTGGCAGAACCCTGTTAGAATACTGTAGAGACTGGCAGAAACCTGGCTTAAACGATTTTTAAAGGTTATACTATAATAACCGTGACTAGAATCTGGCTACACCCTGACTAGACGACCCTTGCTAGTTCCTTGCTAGACCCTGCCTAGACGACCCTGGCTAGACGACCCTGGCTAGACGACTCTGGCTAGACGACCCTGGCTAGACGACCCTGGCTAGACGACCCTGGCCAGACGACCCTGGCTAAGCCTTGGCTAAACTCTGGCTAGACCCTGGCTAAACCCTCGAGAATTTTCACAGGCGCGCCTCATTGATCGGCGCTCGGTTTACCATTCCAATGTACGACAGTAACTACAGCTGTCCGTTGACGTAACTATAATGACAGTAAATACAGCTGTCCGTTGACGTAACTATAACGACAGTAACTACAGCAGTCCGTTGACGTAACTATAATGACAGTAACTACAGCTGTCCGTTGACGTAACTATAATGACAGTAACTACAGCTGTCCGATGACGTAACTATAATGACAGTAACTACAGCTGTCCGTTGACGTAACTATAATGACAGTAACTACAGCTGTCCGTTGACGTAACTATAACGACAGTAACTACAGCTGTTCGTTGACGTAACTATAATGACAATAACTACAGCTGTCAGTTGACGTAACTATAATGACAGTAGCTACAGCTGTTCGTTGACGTAACTATAATGACAGTAACTACAGCTGTCCGTTGACGTAACTATAACGACATTAACTACAGCTGTCCGTTGACGTAACTATAATGACAGTAACTACATATGTCCGTTGACGTTACTATAACAAGGCCTTGTGAAAGTAACCTAATGACAAGATTTCATTTTTTTTTTAAATTCTGACATTGGAGACTGATTTGTAAACATGATTGATTAAGGAAGTAATTTAACTCAAAGAATGCACTCTTTGATAAATTCTGAACAGATTGGGGAACAAACGATTTTTAAAAAATCTTTTGACCCAACTCAGTGTCGACCACAATCACAAACACACACTGAAACAAACACACACATACACATATGCGCGCGCGTACAAACAGAATAGATAAAAAAAAGATATTTTATATCGAGCAAACTTTCAATGACAAACCTACTTATGGGAGCTTTAGCTGTGCGCATGGCTAAATACTGCCATGTCGTGCTAGTCAAGTCTTCATGTCATGGTCATGGACTTTGCGCAGACATGAGAAGAAATGACTCAATAATTAAATGGGCGAATGATAATGTGTATGCATCATAGACATAACAAAGACATATTTAATGTCGACTGACAGTTGAACTGACATCCGGATCAGTCGCCTCTGATTTCTATTCACTGTCAGGGAACATATGCATGGACTTACAAATAGTATTCCATATATACTGACACATAAGAGTTGATATAAAACATATATTGAGACTTCCTTCCTGTGATTTTTTTCCCCGTTGGCTTGGGTCCTAAAAAAAACGAAAGAAATCACCATTAAACATTCTTACATTTTACAGCCAAAACAAGCTCCAGACGTTGTCCAAATAGAGTAACAGATCTTCGAATATTGGATGACAGTTCCAGGCCACGTAGCAACCGGTGCAATAAGGTTTCAACTAATCCTTTATGGATTAAAACCTAATTATGATTGTGTATTACTCAGGAGAGGCTCGCATCTTTTTCGATGCTGTCTGTTAAAAATGATGTTGCTATACTGTCTGTTGAAAATGATTGTTACTATACTGTCTGTTGAAAATGATGTTGCTATACTGTCTGTTGAAAATGATTGTTACTATACTGTCTGTTGAAAATGATGTTACTATACTGTCTGTTGAAAATGATGTTGCTATACTTCGTGTTGAAAATGATGGTACTATACTGTCTGTTGAAAATGATGTTACTATACTGTTTGTTGAAAAGGATGTTACCATGCTGGCTGTTGAAAATGACGTTACCATGCTGGCTGTTGAAAATGATGTGTTATGTAGGACACTTTTCCCGTGCCGTGAACTGTGCTTGACCCCAAATTAGATTCCTAGCAGACGCTATGTTCATAGATGGGCGGGGCTAGTTCTTTTGATCTGTCATGTTCACTGCCGACTACAAATTAAACATGATTAGTTTGTCTCTTAGTATCTTGTGGAACGTTCTCGATTTGATGAGAGACGTAAACAATGTCAAAAGCGTTTCTGAACGCGTCGGTAGACCCATTAAATAAGTAAGGGGTTTCAGAGATTCATGGATATTCAGCCTGAATGATGGATATGTTTAACTTTACGAGACCAGTGTATTTTTCTTTGTGTACTCATATGTGTTTATTCGCATTTATCATGGTACCTTATTTTTGTGGTACATTCTACTGTGTACCGGTACACGACATTCTCATACTCAGTAAGTTGATGATTGTAAAATATATCTTTTATTTTGTTATTATATTAATACTTAAATAAATCTTATTAATTGTAATTAGCACTGTTTTGAGTGTCGTATTTTTGCTATTGTATTTCTAAATGGTATCGTCCTTTGTTAGGCACTGTTTACAACGAGCCAATAACTTAAGCTAAGAGATTAATTTCTCACAAAAGAAGCCAGTGCATAACAGATGTTACCATGCTGTCTGTTGAAAAGGATGTTGCTTATGCTGTCTGTTGAAAATGATGTTACCATGCTGGCTCTATGAAAATGATTTTACTCTGCTGTCTGTTGAAAATGATGTTACTATGCTGTCTGTTGAAAATGATGTTACTATGCTGTCTGTTGAAAATGATGTTACTATGCTGTCTGTTGAAAATGATGTTACCATGCTGGCTGTTTGAAAATGATGTTACTAGATTTGCCATCACAAAAGTCAAACAAAATTTCGTTTAGAATTGTATAAAAGTTAAGATGCTAATTACATTTAAAAAAATCAATCATTACAAAATAACTGCATGTTGAAAGTGGGAATTTCTCTTCTTAGTTTTGCGTTTTCCAATAAAATTAACTAGAATCTCAAACAAATTAGTTTTAATGTTCTCGTTAGAATCTAATTCATACCCTGTAGTTAGTTTTAATGTTCCTGTTAGAATCTAATTCATACCCTGTAGTTAGTTTTAATGTTCTCGTTAGAATCTAATTCATACCCTGTAGTTAGTTTTAATGTTCTCGTTAGAATCTAATTCATACCCTGTAGTTAGTTTTAATGTTGATACTTGGAAGAATAACAACTATTTTAATGTTAGGATTGGTATCTTCTCCAGCTGAACAGTTTACAATTGTTAATGTAATATCCACCTGAACATTTGTAGGAGGAAGGTGCGCAAAATATAAAAACTCCCTGGGGCGTCAAAATTTAAGAATACATAGGGCGATAATATTGAAAACTGGCTGTGGCGCCACAATTGTTAAAGCCGACACTGCTCACAAACTTGATAAAAAGTGCGTATAATCTGCTAGTCCTTAATGTCTAGTCAGAGTTAAGTAGAATATGCTTGTAAACAGATAGTCCTTAATGTCTAGCCAGAGTTAAGCCCTTAATGTCTAGTCAGACTTAAGTCCTTAATGTCTAGTCAGAGTTAAGTAGAATATGCTTGTAAACAGATAGTCCTTAATGTCTAGTCAGAGTTAAGTCCTTAATGTCTAGTCAGACTTAAGTCCTTAATGTCTAGTCAGAGTTAAGTAGAATATGCTTGTAAACAGATAGTCCTTAATGTCTAGTCAGAGTTAAGTCGATGCTTGTAAACAGATAGTCCTTAATGTCTAGTCAGAGTTAAGTCCTTAATGTCTAGTCAGAGTTAAGTCCTTAATGTCTAGTCAGAGTTAAGTCCTTAATGTCTAGTCAGAGTTAAGTCCTTAATGTCTAGTCAGAGTTAAGTCCTTAATGTCTAGTCAGAGTTAAGTCCATGCTTGTAAATAGATAGTCCTTAATGTCTAGTCAGAGTTAAGTCCATGCTTGTAAACAGATAGTCCTTAATGTCTAGTCAGAGTTAAGTCATTAATGTCTAGTCAGAGTTAAGTCCTTAATGTCTAGTCAGAGTTAAGTAGAATATGCTTGTAAACAGATAGTCCTTAATGTCTAGTCAGAGTTAAGTAGAATATGCTTGTAAACAGATAGTCCTTAATGTCTAGTCAGAGTTAAGTCCTTAATGTCTAGTCAGAGTTAAGTCCTTAATGTCTAGTCAGAGTTAAGTCCTTAATGTCTAGTCAGAGTTAAGTAGAATATGCTTGTAAACAGATAGTCCTTAATGTCTAGTCAGAGTTAAGTCATTAATGTCTAGTCAGACTTAAGTCCTTAATGTCTAGTCAGAGTTAAGTAGAATATGCTTGTAAACAGATAGTCCTTAATGTCTAGTCAGAGTTAAGTCCATGCTTGTAAATAGATAGTCCTTAATGTCTAGTCAGAGTTAAGTCCATGCTTGTAAATAGATAGTCCTTAATGTCTAGTTCATTAAACTAATACCAACAACTACCGTGAGAACGTACCTTTGAGTTCAAATATCCACGCCTGGTCCAGCTACCTTGAGGATGGGCTTCACAGGAACAACTGACTCTAATACCGGCACAGGTGGAAAATATCCTGGTGAACCGGTGACCTTGGGGGGGGGAGATAAGCAGACAAACAACCTTGCCGGTAATAACCCCTCCCCCACAACCCCTTTGAAAAAAGTGTATATCTGTCTCTGCCCTCTCCCACTCTCTTTATCTTTGCCCTCTCCCCCTCTCGTGTTTTATAAACATCTCTGTATATCTATAGATCGCGCTATAATCACACACACACACATCCGTTAATAGCCACTCTCTCTATGCCTCACTCTCTCTTTCTCTCACCCCTCTCCCACCCCCTCTCTCTCTCTCTCTTTATATTTCTGTCCGTCTCTCTTTCTCTCCTGTATCTCTCTCTCTCTCTTTATATTTCTGTCCGTCTCTCTCTCTCTCTCTCTCTTTATTTTTCTTTCCCTCTCTCTCTCTCTCTCTCTCTCTCTCTCTCTCTCCTCTCTTTC